CTGTTTTTGGGGGACAGGAGGCGGGCAGGTGTGGAAGACTCCCTGGTCCTGAATGGGGTAACTGTGCCCCTGAAGGACCAGGTTCGCAACCTGGGAGTCATTCGGGACTGACAGCTGTCCATGGAGGCACAGGTCAATTCTGTGTCCAGGGCAGCTGTTTATCAGCTGCATCTGGTACGCAGGCTGAGACCCTATCTGCCTGCTGACTGTCTCGCCAGAGTGGTGCATGCTCTGGTTATCTCCCGCTTGGACTACTGCAATGCACTCTACCTGGGGCTACCTTTGAAGGTGACCCGGAAACTACAACTAATCCAGAATGTGGCAGCTAGACTGGTGACTGGGAGTGGCCACCGAGGCCACATAACACCAGTCTTGAAAGACCTACACTGGCTCCCAGTACGTTTCCGAGCACAATTCAAAGTCTTGGTGCTGACCTTTAAAGCCCTAAACGGCCCCGGTCCAGTATACCTGAAGGAGCATCTCCACCTCCATCATTCTGCCCGAACACTGAGGTCCAGCACCGAGGGCCTTCTGGCGGTTCCCTTGCTGCGAGAAGCCAAGTTACAGGGAACCAGGCAGAGGGCCTTCTCGGTAGTGGCACCCGCCCTGTGGAACGCCCTCCCACCAGATGTCAAAGAGAAAAATAACTATCAAACTTTTAGAAGACATCTAAAGGCAGCCCTGTTTAGGGAAGCTTTTAATGTTTAATAGGTTATTGTATTTTAGTGTTTTGTTGGAAGCCACCCAGAGTGGCTGGGGGGACCCAGCCAGATGGGCGGGGTATAAATAACAAATTATTATTATTATTATTATTATTATTATTATTATTATTATTATTATTCGTAACCCGCAGCGGTGCGTCTGCGCACGTGTGGGTTGCAATTTGGCGCTTCTGAGCATGCACAAAGCGTGATTTAGCGCTTCTGCACATGCGTGACCGCCAAAACCCGGAAGTTACCCAAAGTCATACCCGAGGTATGACTGTATTATCATTTCTCGCACACATGAACTTCAGCCGGCTTGCTCACTTCTCCCTTATGCAATGGGGAACCTGAAGCAGGTCTGACTTCCCGCCCCCCTGTTTGCTTGTATCGCCATGGAAAAATGGGAATCGAAAATACTTCACCCCACAGCCATGAGAACAAACAACCAGGTGCTGGATATACATGATTGTATCTACCCAAGATTTGCTGGAAGAAGGGGAACTCTTTGGCAGCTCTGCCTGGTAGGTTTTTGCAGGCTTTGAAAGAAGCGCGCTCACTTCTTATCACTGGAATGACGTCCCAACATGCCAGAGACTTTCCCTGACAACACTCTCTGCCCTTTCCATGCTGCATCCAAAGGGAGAGATTCAGCAAAGAGACCTTTCCCACACCACAGAGTCAGGGAAAGCTGCATTTGTTCCAGTTGTGCTTTTAGGTTGCACAGGAACCTATCTCTGGGAAGACGTTGGTAGCTGTGCACAGGCAGATAAATCACATGGCGTTGCTTTTCTGCAGCTGTAGGCCAAAGGTGGAAAAATCCTTTTGGCCTAGTGGGCCAGATCTTTATCTCCCCACCCCACACCTCTGCTGGCCTACTTTGACGGGTGGGTGGGGCCTGCCAACTGTCAATCACCTGACATAATAATAGTGTGGCATCTGAATATAGACTGCATTTTTAATCAAGACTTATATTGGCTTATATCTTGATCAGGTTCCTAAATTAAATGGGCTTAGATTTTCAAATGTTTCATGCCAGCTGCTTAGAGAACCTTGGCAATGTTTTCCTCCTAGACAAGGGGCCCCTTGATTTATAGCAGAAAACAATTCTCAAAGTCGTAAAAAGGGAATTACAGGTTAAGAGCAAGGTTACATAGACCCAACATAATTAAGAGTTGGTAAATAGTAAAATAAAACCGTTAAACTTGAGCCACAGGACAAAAGGCCAAGAGCTAATGGGAAAAGCAGCTGGCTGAGGGGGGGGGTGTAAACTGAAGAGGCTTCTTTTGAAGCTGTTTTTTACTGAGTTCCTTTTTCTACTTTACAAAGGCCTTATTCCTTTTAAGAGGCTACCTGTGTTGTGTATTAAGTGTATTGGCATAGATGTAATTATGCAAAGGATTTAAGAAATGCTAGATTCTTATTTCATATAGTTGTAAGAGTTGTATTTATCCTGAAATTAAGTCAGCCACCAGCCTAGCCCCCTGCCAGACAGGAGACGCCAATCGAGCACTCATGACAAATGGTTGTCAGGCCTTTGTTTAAAGACCTCCAAAAGGAGATATTTCATTGATGATGCATGAGAATATGAACCCAAGGTCTCTGACATCTGTTCAAGATAAAAATTTAAAATTATTAACCATAGGGCAAGGAGGGCAAGAGGTGAGCTGGTAATTAAGATTCCTTGTTGAGACACATGTAAGATATATTACTACTTATTTGTCATTTATAGATGTAACAATATATAGCTCTTTGTGTTCCATATAAGGACAGGAGGATATGGGTGTATCTTTTTGTGATTGGTTCTAGCAATCAGCCAATAGGAATTTCAACCAGGCTGATTGGACAGAGGCAGCCACAGGAGGAGCAAAGGGGGCTGGATTAAGGGAATATAAGTGCTGGCCATAATGGCAGGAGGCCAGGCCAGAGCTTGGTAACCATATACCACTGTGCCTCTCATTTATTTGTCTGACAAATAAATTATTATTTTAATTTCTCTATTGCTGCGTTGAATATTCATTCCAGCTAAGCGTTAACCACAAGCAGGGTGCTACAATAGCATCTGGTGACTGACAGGTAGGGTGTCCTGCCCACCTGTCAAAGATGGCCTGTAATGGGGGGGGGGGGAGATAGTGACCAAGCAGAATTCAGCTCCCTGAACATCAGCTGATGAGTTTGGTCTTGCTTTCTGCAGGGATCAGGTGAGTGATCAGATGATCCAGCTGCAACACTACCTGCTCCACACCTGACATATGATGCAAGTGGATGTGGTTTGGGGGAAACAGTCTCACAGGCCAAATGCAGCCCGCAGACTGCCCCCACCCCTGCTGTGCTCCACCTCCATCAATTCCTGCACACAGAAAAGTCAAATATCCAGAGAGAAGGAAGAACCCTTCTCTCTAACATGCTATTTCCCAGTGTTCAAGCAGTTTGTTTCATTCCACACACGAGAGCTCCAATCTACATATTGTCAGAAAGGGCTAGGCTACAACATTTTTCTATATCTGGAACATTACGTTGCTGGAGGATCCTGGGTAATGTGCATCGAAGGAAGAGTGCTGATGGCAAGGTTAACTAGAGTCAGGGTTCGGCCCCCAGAGCCTCTTTTGCTACCATAAAGGTAAAGGGACCCCTGACCATTAGGTCCAGTCGTGGCCGACTCTGGGATTGCAGCGCTCATCTCGCTTTATTGGCTGAGGGAGCTGATGTACAGCTTCCGGGTCATGTCACCAGCATGACTAAGCTGCTTCTGGTGAACCAGAGCAGCACACGGAAATGCCGTTTACCTTCCCGCCGGAGAGGTACCTATTTATCTACTTGCACTTTGATGTGCTTTCGAACTGCTAGGTTGGCAGGAGCTGGGACAGAGCAACGGGAGCTCACCCCATCGCGGGGATTTGAAACGCCGACCTTCTGATCGGCAAGTCCTAGGCTCTGTGGTTTAACCCACAGCGCCACCCACGTCCCGGTTTTGCTACCGTAGCGTGCAACAAAAGAGGTGCCTCAGAGCATGTGCAGAGTGGCAATCCTTCAAAGAACCCAAGTCAGCTCCTTCCCACCTGAAGGCAGAATGTCAGAATGTGTGGCTTACCAGTAATGGAATACTAGCTCCGCCTAAGGTATGAGGGAGAACAGCAACTGACAAAAGATAGACATAATACAGTACAAGGACATGAAGAAACATCATGGACAGTAATAGCCACACACAAGAAGAACAAAGAGAGAGTTTGAAGGCTTCGCCTATAGGACTGTAAATTATTTGATGTGTTAATGTGAATGGAAGTCATTAAAACTGCAGCTGCGGTATAAGGGTTTGTTTTTCCGACTGGTGTGTAATTGGAATTTCTAAGTTTTTGGAATGTAGAGTTAAAGTAAATGATCAAATCATCAATTCTAGCATGGGGGGGCAACAAAATAATATAACTTGGCATCTGAACAACTGGCATTATTCATTGTATTATAATTTGGTATTGACAACGAGGCTTTTATCGGGTTATTGCAATTGAAAACTGCCGTATTATTCACTCCATAAGACGCACCAGACCATAAGACGCACCTAGTTTTTAGAGGGGGAAAGCAAGAAGAAAAAAAATTCTGCGCAGAGCATGTAAGCGGCTCTCGCTTTTCTTGCTTTAAACCCTTCCGTCCCTCCTCCTGCTTCGCTGAGTAGCCAGCAGAGCAAGCTGCGCAGCTCTCGCTGAAGCCAGCAGAGCAAGAGCGATAGCTGCGCAGGGCCTCTTCTTCTGGCTTCCCAGCAAAGCGGGATGAGGGACGAAAGGGAGCCCTTACAAGGGAGCGCTGAGCAGAGTTTGGCAGCGGCTCTTGCTGGCTTTTCCGGGAGGTCTGGGAAGGGACAGAGGGCAGCCCGTCAGTCCCTTCTCCCACCTCCTGGAAAAGCCCCCAAGAGCTGTGCGCTCTTTAAAGAGCCACGCCTAGCGTTTGTGCGGCTCTTGGGGGGCTTTTCCCTGAGGAGGAAGAAGGGACTGATGGGCTGCCCTTCTCCCTCCTCGGGGAAAAGCCAGCAAGAGCCGCACACACGCTCCACGTGGCTCTTTAAAGGGAGCGCTGAGCAGAGCCTCCCGCCTGCATTTGCTCCATAAGACGCACACACATTCCCCCTAACTTTTTAGGAGGGGAAAAGTGCGTCTTATGGAGCGAAAAATACGGTAATAAAAATGTGTGGCTTACCTAGAAAAGGCTGCCTCTCAACTGGGAGAGTCAGAGATACAGGGAGTGTGTGGCGTTAGCCCAACAACAAATGAGGACCTCCAGGTGGATATTTTTAAGCAAATCCCATACCTGTCTGGCACAGGGCTCTGGCGTACCCTGCTCCAACCTTCCCTCCGCTGCTTTGTGGAAGGTTTCGGAGTTGCTCTTTGGGAGCGGGCGAGCCGGACTCCACGAGGCAGCTTTGTACAAGTTCCCAACGCCCGCCTGGCCAGGGGGCATCGCGAATTTCGCCAAGTCGTCCAGGGACACCGTAGACCTTATGTGTTCAGAGGAATGGCTGTAGCCCACGGGACCTGTCGTGTGGCGAGGCTTCAGGGAACCATGAGATGCACTGAGGGCAGAAAGAGTGGCTCTGCTCGCTCCGGAAATGGGGGACGGAGCGTTCCCACCAACGTCAAAGGGGATCGTCGTCCAGACCCCTGAGGAGATCGAGCCCTGCGGGGAAGAAAAGCCAGCTTTCTCCGCATCTACCTCACACGCTGGAATGGCATTGACAAACCGATATTCGTACTCCGCTGGCGGTTCCTGGCTGACCCGGATAGAGGCCTCTAAGTTGACATTTTCCAACATGGTTGTGGAGGGCAGCTCCTCAGAGGATGGCATGGTGTGGGTCACAGAGCCCAGTTCCTTGACGTATTTTGCTGGGATGTAGAAAGGCCGGGCTTCTTTGTTCTTCCTCACGTGCCACCAGTGGTCATTGGTTCGCCTCAGAAGCATGTATCTCTCGTTGGGCTGTATCGAAATGAGCTGCCCATCCTTAGCGGTGTACTCAAAGGGGTATTCCACCAAGACATATCTGTCCTCCTTGCCTCCCAGGGAATCCATTCTTGTGCCCTAAAGTGGCTTCCTTGGAGCAACGTCTTCTTTCTGAAAAGGAAGAAGGAAAAGTTGGTGGCATGGGTTGAGATAGGTAGGCCTGGAAAGACTAATGTTTGATGCAACTTGTCTGAGAAAATGAATGAGCAAACGCCTAGATTTTATTTCATCGGAACTGAGTGAAGATGGCGTCTGCCACCAGAGAAGGACTTTTGGATTGATTCGGCATAAACACCAGCGTGTGAGGGCATTCTGCAAACAACAGACTTACCAGCTGCAAAAAAAAAAAAAGGGAGAGTCATACAAATTTCACACAGAAGCACATTATTGTTTATTTCAACTCGCCTGTGGAAACAACTCAGAGGCTACGAAAGAAGGAAGGATAACAACAGGAAGATTTAAAGAAGGAACTACTGTATTGGAAACTCAAGGCAGGAGAAACATAAGACGATTAGAGCCCCACTGAACTTGAAGCATGGGAAGCCCCAACAAAAATCTATAATTTGGGAGAATATTTGGATTATGAAATGTATTTGTATAATTTGGAATACTTAATGTGATTTGATTGTTAAAATGGAAAATTTAATAAAAATTATTTTTTTAAAAAAAGAGATAGGTAAGCCTGTGTGGACTTAGCCATTGGGCGGGGGGAGGCAAAAGAAAGTGTTCTGTAACAAGCAGAATCCTACAACTCACGTAAGAGGCAAATGTAAGATAAATTCACTTAGTTTCTGTCAGGACAGGCCCTACCGTTAGGCAGAGTGAAGTGGCCGCCCCAGGCACTAGGTTTTGGTTGCTGCAAAGGCCGCCAAATTGTTAGTTTTTAAAGATATGAGTACAGTGGTGCCCCGCAAGACGAATGCCTCGCAAGACGAAAAACTCGCTAGACGAAAGGGTTTTCTGTTTTTTGAGTCGTTGTGCAAGATGAATTTCCCTATGGGCTTGCTTTGCAAGACGAAACGTCTTGCGAGTTCTTGCGAGTTTGTTTCCTTTTTCTTAAAGCCGCTAAGCCGTTAATAGCCGCTAAGCTGTTAATAGCCGCTAAGCCGCTAATAGCCGTGCTTCGCAAGACAAAAAAACGCAAGATGAAGAGACTCGCGGAACGGATTAATTTCGTCTTGCAAGGCACCACTGTATTGTATTTTTACTGCCTGGGATGGGGAGAGGTGCTTGTGGGTTTTTCTGCCTCAGGTGGCAAAACATGAGGGGAGGGCAAAAGGTACAGAACCAGCCTTTGTTTTGCCCAATTGTTTTGCCTTTGTTTTGCCCTTTGTTTATTCACAGGCCAGAAGAGAACAGGGCTGAAGGGTTCAGCCAGCCTGCTTATAGAGAGCTCAACTACAAAGCAACAGTAACGACTTTCTGTAACTATCCAATCACTGAACGTACTTTCAATTCCTTATTTGCATATGTGGACCTGAGTGAAAACTATCTACAGTATCCCCCTGCTGGCCCAGGAAGAGAACTTCAGTACATAAGAGTTCTAGCTGTACCCAAATATTGTTTTGAACTGCCTCTTCTCTACCCTCAGTGTCACCCCCCAATCACTCTCTCAAACCAGTTTCCCCTATCAGTTTCAATCCACCCCTGCTTTATTCAAACCTCGGCTGTTTAAAACTGCCACCTTTTCTCCTTTCAGTGTCTCTCTCTTCTTGCCATACTCAAATGTCTCCCTTATTCCATTCCCCCAGTTGCTTCATGTGAGATAAAGGATGTGGAGTCCTCAGTTATTCCAGAGTGCTTTACTCAAACCTTTACCATTGTTTAAAACTGCCGTTTCCCTGTTTTTTCCATCCCTGCTTTACACATACTTCTGCCGTTGTTGCAAACCACCTCTTTCTGACACTAAGAATCCTCTAGTGGGATGATGACAGCATTACATTTTTATGTATATAGGAAGAAATATAAACAAAAACATCGTTCTATTAGAACTGCTTGCAAGAAAATGCACACTGGGGCAACACTGCATATAAAAATACATCTACCAGGTTAAATGCATGCAAAAATGTGCATACATTTTCATCCAGACTTAACCCCCTCCTCCCCACCCCACCCCCATCGCTGGCTAGCTAATGTGGAGGACAAAGCTTAGGATTGGGAAATATAGCGAAACTAGAATTGACATGTCATCCATCCCCTACCTGAGAGCAGCTTTAGGAAAACCTCTTTCCTACTGGAGCCTCCAAAGTGAGCAGCTGGATCATGAATCTGGCTGGTTTTGATAGAAGAAACCCTGCTCTCTTGCTTTTCCTCCCATACTGATAGATGCTGACTTCTCTGTGTCTGAGGTGGTGGACTTCCTCCAAACAGCAGAAGGGCTTCCTCTTCGGCAGTTTCTCTGCTTTTTGAGTCCTGATGGGGGGGGGGAGGGAATCCCCAGACTAGATTACAGATTTGCAAATGGCATTCCCGGATGAGGGCTTCAGGCTGAGGGCTTCCCAACACTTCTCTGAAAAAGTAAAAAAAAAAATCATTTCAACAGCGTGCATTGAGAAATGCAATCAGATAGGTCCCAATATTAAAACTTCTCCGGTGGTCTTCCAGGATAACAATATGGCACCGGTTAATAAGTAGCCTGGGCAAATAGCAAGGGCTACTTTGAAAAGGGACGCGGGTGGTGCTGTGGGTTAAACCACAGAGCCTAGGACTTGCCGATCAGAAGGTCGGCGGTTCGAATCCCCACGACGGGGTGAGCTCCCGTTGCTTGGTCCCTGCTCCTGCCAACCTAGCAGTTCGAAAGCACGTCAAAGTGCCAGTAGATAAATAGGTACCGCTCCGGCGGGAAGGTAAACAGTGTTTCCGTGCGCTGCTCTGGTTCGCCAGAAGCGGCTTAGTCATGCTGGCCACATGACCCAGAAGCTGTCTGCGGACAAACGCCGGCTCCCTCGGCCCATAGAGCGAGATGAGCGCCGCAACCCCAGAGTCGGTCACGACTGGACCTAATGGTCAGGGGTACCTTTACCTTACTTTGAAAACAGGTCTGAAGGCTTCTCCCTCTCATTCTGAAACTAGCCATCTTACCTCTAGGTTAGCAACAGAGAGGGCCAGTTTGCCCCAAAGGCCCTCAGCTGATATAGATTAAGTTGGCAATGTCAAACACTTGTGAACACTAAGCTAGGAGTAAGTCACCCCACTGAGTGCTGTGACTTATTCCTGAGTGAGCATGCACAAAATTGTTGTGCAAACCTCTCCCATTTGGGGAATTTAATAAAGCAGTCAATACGCCAACCTAGTTTCTGTTGTGCAGTGTGCTGTTCCTATCCCCTGGTCCACAGTGTGAGCTGCAGCCAACAGTATTCTTTGCCCAGGCTTATGACTATTAAATAATCTATGGCCTGTGAAAGTGTGGGGAGAAAACTGTTATTATGATAATTTTTTTACTATTAGGCTGTCTGTCAGTATGCTTTCGATGATGTTTGTATTATGTTTCTATCACTGATGTTTTGCAATGTGTTTCCGATGTTGTATACCACCCTGGCATCTTTTGATAAAAGGTGATATATAAATTGTATTATTAATATTAATATTAATAAAGGTAAAGGGACCCCTGACCATTAGGTCCAGTCGTGGCCGACTCTGGGGTTGCGGCGCTCATCTTGCTTTATGGCCGAGGGAGCCGGCGTACAGCTTCCAGGTCATGCGGCCAGCATGACTAAGCCGCTTCTGGCGAACCAGAGCAGCGCACGGAAACACCGTTTACCTTCCCACCGGAGCAGTACCTATTTATCTACTTGCACTTTGTCATGCTTTCAAATTGCTAGGTTGGCAGGAGCAGGGACCGAGCAACGGGAGCTCACCCCGTCGGGGGATTCGAACCGCTGACCTTCTGATCGGCAAGCCCTAGGCTCTGTGGTTTAACCCACAGCGCCACCCACGTCCCATTAATGATCATACGCCTGTGCTACCCTTACAAAGGATTCCTTACTGATGGTTAAGCAAGATGTATTCAAAACAAGAAGATGGTGTGGAAACCGGAAGGGTTTTAGTTTGCATATTAAATGGCAACTTTTAATAGCACGTTGCATTCTAGAGCTAACATTGCACTGCGCTAACCAGTGTGCACTGCTCTGATGCTAGCCCAAATGCCACACCGCACTGTCATAACAAAGGCAGCACAGTGTGTGGGTGTGCCTGTCTCAGAGCTCTTCCGTTTGTCATTCTGTGCACAACCAGCTCTCTCTGTTTTCCTCCTCTGTTCTCTTTTCCTTTTAGCTGGGAGGAGTCTTGCAAATGGGGCCAGACACTACAGCTGCGGCTGGTGCAGCGGTTTCCTGCGTGAATTGTAGTCTGTGACAAAACGATCTGCACAGAGCCTGGTTGCACGGAAGGGACCAGATCTTAATTGGGCCTTGCACTCCCCGTTACGTAACGGTTACCTTTTCCCAGTATGAAGTTGTGTTATGATACAGGGGGAAGAGAAGAGCTGTTGAAATGCTCTCACACACATAGCGAAGGGACATGTGAGATGGGCCACATGATTGTGGGGCGCAGCCCCGCCCAAAACATGCACACTGACAGCATCACTTGCTGTCCATAAATTTGCCAGCTTTAGGAGGGGACCAGAAGGCTCTGCTGCAGTGTTCAAACATCCCAGGTTCCCCATCCTTCACACAGCAGAGCTGTTCATGTATACAATGGTACTTCTGGTTGCGAACAGGATCCGTTCCAGAGGCCTGTTCACAACATGAAAAGAGTGCAATCCGCAGCGGCGCGTCTGCGCACACTCAGATTGCGATTCGCCACTTCTGCGCATGCACGTGACATCATTTTGCGCTTCTGCGCATACGCAAGCAGCGAAACCCAGAGGTAACCCTTTCTGGTACTTCTGGGTCACTGCAGGACATAACCTGAAAGACAGTAACATGAAGCAAACGTAACATGAGGTATGACTGTATACAGTGGTACCTCGGGTTAAGTACTTAATTCGTTCCGGAGGTCCGTTCTTAACCTGAAACTGTTCTTAACCTGAAGCACCACTTTAGCTAATGGGGCCTCCTGCTGCTGCCGCGCCGCCGGAGCACGATTTCTGTTCTCATCCTAAAGCAAAGTTCTTAACCTGAAGCACTATTTCTGGGTTAGCGGAGTCTGTAACCTGAAGCATATGTAACCTGAAGCGTATGTAACCCGAGGTACCACTGTATGTTTATACATGTAGCATACCCTTCAACTGTCTCGTTTTATGTGGGACATCCCAGAAGCAAATCCTGGTTTCTGTTTGGGTCCTGGAATTTTTTTGGTACAACTCTCCTTTTTCAGACTGATGCTCTGGTGTGAATCGGCTGGGTTGCACCAGAGCACTAGAACAAAAGCCGCACATTTTTCAGATGTGACACACTGGACGTGACACCGTCATGCGTGACATCTGGGCATCGTGTGGCATCGGAAGGAGGCTCAGCCCCCTAAAATACAGTGGTGCCTCGCAAGACGAAATTAATTTGTTCTGCGAGTTTTGTCGTCTTGCGATTTTTTTCGTCTTGCGAAGCACGGTGTCGGGAAAGTTTTGGAAAAGCTTCAAAAATCACCAAAGTCTTTAAAAACCTCAAAAAAGGCTACCACACCGCGTTCTATGAGTTGCTCCTCGAAGTCAAGTCGCAACTGTATTAATGGTGTTAAGAAAAAGGAAACAAACTTGCAAGACGTTTCCGTCTTGTGAAGCAAGCCCATAGGGAAAATCGTCTTGTGAAGCAGCTCAAAAACCCCTTTCGTCTAGCGAGTTTTTTGTCTTGCGAGGCATTCGTCTTGTGAGGTACCACTGTACATGGGGGGCACTTAAGTCCCCTCAACCCTCAGGAATTGGTGCCCGTGTTGGATGCTATGAAGTAGACCCCTTCATGTGGCTGCCAAACTGGTCCACGGCCTGCAAGCGCGCTGGCAACTGGAGCTACTCCTGGCTCAATCTCTCATCTGTGTTCGATGCAATTGACCATGTATCCTCCTAGTATGTCTGCAGGAGATGGGCTTCAGTGGAAATGTTCCACTCTTACCTCCAGAAACTGTTTAAGAAGGTAGCACAGGGTGTACATTTCCGAGCACAATTCCAAGTGTTGCTGCTGAGCTTTAAAGCCCTAATCAGCCTCGGCCCAGTATACCTGAAGGAGCGTCTCCACCCCCATCGTTCAGCCCGGACACGGAGGTCCAGCTCTGAGGGCCTTCTGGCGGTTCCCTCACTGCGAGAAGTGAAGTTACAGGGAACCAGGCAGAGGGACTTCTCAGTGGTGGCACCATCCCTGTGGAATGCCCTCCCATCAGATGTCAAGGAAATTAAACAACTACCTGACTTTTAGAAGACTTCTGAAGGCAGCCCTGTTCAGGGAAGTTTTTCATGTTTGAAGTTTTATTGTGTTTTTAATGTTCTGTTGAAAGCCGCCCAGAGTGGCTGGGAAAATCCAGCCAGATGGGTGGGGTAGAAATAATAAATTATTATTATTACTCAGACCCATGCCTCTTGAACCACAGGGGACTGTAGGGCATTACATTGTCTCCAATGCTATTTAATTATATTTTCTGGGAATATGCTGGTGAAGGAGCAACTTGATTTCTCTGTAATGTCTGAATCAATAATGGCCAAGGAGGTCCTGGGCGAGGTTCCGGTTGCACTAGTGAGCTGGATGAATGCTAATAAACTGAATCTGAATCCTGGCAAAATGGAGGCTCTGTAGGCGAGTTGTTCCCAGATCTGGGAAGCTGGTAAACTTCCTGCCCTGAATAGGACCATGTTCTCCCTGAAGGAGCAGGTTTGTAATCTGCAGGTGTTCCCAGACCCTTTGAAAGTAGTTTAACTTTTGCCCATCATTGCACAGAAGAGAGTTAGAGATGGAGGAAGTGGCCTTCTCTGACAAACTATCTCACTTTCAGCAAGCAGAGAAGTGAAATTGACTAAACTGCAGATGAGGAATAGGTGGCTTTCAAAAACTGATTTATTTTTTTAAAGGAACAGATACAAAAAAAAGTGGGTGCAAAAGCAACATGATGACCAGAAACAATTACAAAGTGAAAAACTTTATGGACTAATTCAAAACATCAAAACTAACAAACGGAAGTCTCTGAAAGTCTCTGAAAGTCCTTAAATGAATCACGGTTGCAGAGAGCAAGCTTTGTATAATCAGCAAATGACTGATTCTGATGTCGAACATAATCGCATGAGCACTGTTCCAGAGTATTTTTCATTCTCATGTACAGTGGTACCTCGGGTTAAGTACTTAATTCGTGGTCAGGGATGATGGGAACTGTAGTCCCAAAACAGCTGGAGGGCCGAGTTTGGGGATGCCTGGCTTATGATCTGTTACGTTTGTAATTACATAATATTTCCATGTGGTAAGCCGCCTTGAGCATTTTTAACTATGGAAAGACAGCATACAAATAAAATTATGTATGTATATACGTTTGCCGCACATATGTTTGTATGCTGCATTTTCCAAGCACAAAAATATTACAGTTTGAGTGCTAGAAAATGCTTCCTCCCTAAAAAGGAAACTAGAGGAAGCACATTGTTTGCTTGTCCCACATGTTTGTCCATGTGTTTTGATCATAGAATCATAGAGTTGTAATAATAATAATAATAATAATAATAATAATAATAATAATAATAATAAATTTATTATACCCCGCCCTCCCCGGCCAGAACCAGGCTCTGGGTGGCTAACACCAATAAAATCACAGTAAAAGCATAATAGGGGGAAAAGGGGGGGGGACCAATTTAAAATACAGGTTAAAATGCAATTTAAAATGCAGCCTCATTTTAAAGTAGCTGATAAATCAAGGCCATAAGGGGAGGGAAACATAAGGGTCAGACTGAGTCCAAACCAAAGGCCAGGCGGAACAGCTCTGTATTGCAGGCCCTGCGGAAAGATGTCAAGTCCCACAGGGCCCTAGTCTCTTGAGACAGAGCGTTCCACCAAGTCGGGGCCAGTACTGAAAAGGCCCTGGCCCTAGCTGAGACCAATGTAACCACCTTGCGACCTGGAAGATTTGGAAGGGACACCAGCGGTCATCTAGGCCAACCCCCTGCAATGCAGGAAACTTTTACCCAATGTGGGGTTCGAACCCAAAATGCTGAGATTGAGAGTTTCAAGCTCTACCAGCTGAGCTATCCCTGCTGTCACCTTTCAGCTCAGTAAGGAAGAGAAAGGTCTCGTCACATGTTCAGAGGCACTCGCCTATATGATTTCTTTACAGGTTTCCCGGACTGAGCTTTTGGCTTTGAAACATTCTGAGGCTTAGTGCTGCTGGAAACTCAGGTAAGGGATGAAGTCTATTCAAAAGCTGAAAAAACTCTAGAGCATGGCCACTTTGTCTAACCACCCCTGTGCAAAAAGGCAGGTCTGTACAAAAAAAAAAACATCAGCGGAACAATTCATGCAAGCCAAACCACAATGTGCCACAAGCGCACCGTAGCTACAGGCATCTGAAAAGCAATTGTATGCACATCTCGAGCAAGTGAGCCAAGCCACATGGACAGATGACCGTCCAACCTTTGCTAAAAGAAACCTCCAAGGAAGGAGAGTATATATGTCCATATGTCACCTATAAGTTGGTCTATATGTCACCTTTCCACACTGAGCTGCGCCCAGAGCAGTTTACAACAAACATCCACTAGTCATCAAATACAAAACACCAGGAGGGTGTTGGTTGTGCTCACCCTATTATGGTGAAATACATGCAATTCATTGCCACTAAATGTTGTTGTGGCCACTAGCATAGATGTATTTTTAAGAACGAATAGACAAACTGAACAAGGAGAGAGAGAGAGAAATCAGTATTTAGTAGTGGCTGGGGAAGAAACTTCCATGTTTCAGAGGAATGAGACTCTTGTTTACAGATTCCTGCCCTGCTTGCATCTTCAGGGCTGCTGTTGCAGTGTTTAGAGATGGATGGATGGATGGATGGATGAGCTTTAGCATGTGCTCAATCCTATGCCCATTACGTTTTTGGTATGCATTTCCCCATTTAAAATATCACCGAAACCATATCGCAAAAATCAGGAATGTGTGCGATAGCTATGCGTAGAAGTCTGTGCACTTCAAAATGCAGACCAAAAATTGTTCCTAGCAGGTACTGAGTTAGACAGACCTTGATCTGATTAAAAAAAGCTTCCTTAATTTCCCTCAGTGCTTCTGAAGAGCAGATAGCAGGACATTGTTTAGCGTTCTGGAGAATTCAAAAAAGCTTGCATGCTCTTTTGAGATGTTTCTTTATAAAAGTATTTCCCCAATAGGGATGTTGGGATTTTTATGATGGGCCGATATGGCAACGATTATTTTCTGTTTCCCGTCATGTTTGCACTGTGCGGCAGGGCACCATCACTCCAGTTGCACAGACAAGGAAAACCGAAGTTTCTCCTGAATGGGTTGGAAAATATTTGGAGGAGACTTTTATGTCAGGAGCGGCCATTCCCTTCTGTGCAAGGAGCGCTGGCAAGAGTTCATTTCTCCACGCACCCTAATAAGCAACTCTTGCCCAGACAAACACACAAGCCCTGCCGAAGCTGATCATTCAAGAAATTCAGCTCACACTCTGAATTTTCACCAGCTGGAACAACATTGGGGAAACGGAGGTGATTTTGACCTGTTTTCCATGCTGTCCCATCGCGGATTCAGCCAGCCTCCCGGGACTTGACCCCTTCACCCCACCCCGTTCCCCTGTTTTACCTGCTGGCTCACATTTTCTTAGTTTCCTTTCCTGTCCCGGCCTCTTCTTCGCCTGCCTTTCGATCCTACGCCTCAAAGGATGTCCCAGATCTTCCTCCTCGATTGTATCAGGAGCTGCATGGACCTGCCCAGGCCTGTGCACCTGGTCTGAACTTGCCTCTGGTCCTCCCCTACCTAAACTATGTCGAGAAGGGAGGAAAGGAGGGGGGGCAGAGACTGTCACAAAACAGATCTTTCCATCGGCTTCCTCAGGAGAAGGAGACTTGCGAGTGAAGGAAAGAAACAGCAGCCGGTCAAGACTTTGGTCCAGCGGCTCTCCCCAAACATCTTCATCATCGCCAGCAGCCCAAGTCTGGCATTCAGCCGTCACCTAAAGGATCAAAATCAGCTTCTCCTTGCGGGCAGCAGCCAAGACGTCCGACGGCGAGAGGAGCGTTCCGCAAGTGCCGCTTTGACGCCACACGAAAAACCAAAACTAAGAGGCACCTCTGGGGAAAACAGCCGGCCACACCCCTTCCAGTTTCTTTCATCCAGGTCAATTCCAGCTGAGGACAGGTGCTTGCTTCTCCATCCGTCAAAAAGAGCTCCTTGCAGTCACCCAAGACCTAGTTCCATGACCTCGTCTCCTCCGACTCCTCCCCAGCGATGCCCGTTTTCGGCCAAGCCCTGCCGTACTTGTGCAGAGTCTTGCGAGAGTGAGGCAGGCAGAACGACAGGGCTGTTCCCACCAGCCTGCGCTGGATGGAGGAAGGAAGCTCCCTCAGTCAGAGGAAGTCTCCCCAAGGCCGGGGAGGTTGGGGGAGGGCGCTGCTCAGTGGGGAATGACTCACACACCGCCGCCGAGTGCATCTCTCTCTCGGTGCGTGTCCAAGATTTCCACCAGCCTCCTGTGCCACCCTGATTGAGTCACGGGCTTGTCGGAGGGCATGGATAGCATTCCGGCTGGGTTGGGCTCCTCCAGTCCCAAAAAGAGGTGTGTGTGCATGTTTATTTCTCTCGCGAGCAGCGGAGGAAGGCGACAAGGAGCCACACGTGTCGGTCGCCAGAAGGAGCAGCCTACCTGTGCCTTTCAAAACCGAGGGCATGATGTGCTGGGCTGACCTTTGCCATGCCAAGGGGCAGAAGAAAGCCGCTCCCTTTGGGGAGGCAGACCGCAAAAAAGGGAGCTGCTTTCTGTTTTCTGAGCTGCAGAAGGTCTGCCACAAGCTCAGTAGGTGGTTTTCGGCAAGCTGCTCTTACCGTCTCAGCACCCACTCACCCAGGAGCCTAGACACGCAGAGAGGGATATTTATAACCGCACCGGTTCCCAACGTTTGGTTTCCGCCAGGCTCAAAAGTGAGTCAAAGAAGCAAAAGGCGGGGAGCCATTTTTGCAGGGGAGGAGGAAGCCATTTATAAATTTGTCATGCAGGGAAGCGCGAGGGGCAGGGACGCCATCTGGGGAGTCTGTGGGGCCAAGTGCGCACCCCATTTTTTTCAATGAGCCCCCCCCCCATTTTTCTGCGCCTGTGGCAGAAAAACCTTTCCGTGGCTGTGACGGGGCCTACCAGCAGGTAGCAGAAGGTTGCCCCGTCCTGCGCGGTGTCGGGAGATGTGTGTGACATCACTTGTCGCGTGTATGACATCACATGTGCGCGCCGGAGCGCCTTTGTTCTTGGGGGCGACCAGGCGCCTGTGGTGAAGGCCTTAGGTGAAAAAGGGTCAGGTGGGGGAATGTTTTCGATACAAGGGCCATGTTTCCCTCTGGTCAACCCTAGGCCAGAGGTGGGCGTGGCCACAGGCAAAAGTTAAAGGGGGCGGAGCAATGAACATTAAAAAAATATTCTTTGCACAATAGGGCAGATTCTGAACATGCACATGCCTCTCTGGCCTCCATTAGGAACGCAAGAGGCTCCATCCGAGGTCAAGGTCACGTTGCAGGTAGACAAAAACATTGGGGTGCAAGCAGGGGCAGTGAGGGGGTGTGGCCTGGAGAGAGGGTGTGGCTTGGGGAGAGTTCAAAGAGCCTTTAGTGCCACACCCTTGACTTCATTGGACAAGAAAAGGTTGGGCTCTCTTTCCCAAACTTCCAAAATACCTCCCCTGCCCCTGAGAAACTCCACAGGCCTTTTTACTAAAGTGGATATACTCAAAGCTATTTTCATAGAAAAAGAGATGCTGGAACTCACAGTGAACGCCTCTTTTGTTTTCTTATAATGGCAATGGAGCCCACCTGAGAGGTGCTCAGTTCCAGCGAGTTCCAGCTGGGGAAAAAGCCCTGGATATACTAATATTGTCCTACATTAGAGGTACAGGTAAAGGGACCCCTGACCATTAGGTCCAGTCGTGGCTGACTCTGGGGTTGCGGCGCTCATCTCGCTTTATTGGCTGAGGGAGCCGGCGTACAGTCATGTGGCCAGCATGACTAAGCCGCTTCTGGCGAACCAGAGCAGCGCACGGAAACGCCGTTTACCTTCCCGCCGGAGCGGTACCTATTTATCTACTTGCACTTTGACGTCCTTTCGAACTGCTAGGTTGGCAGGAGCAGGAACAGGAGCTCATTCCATCGCAGGGATTCGAACCACCAACCTTCTGATCAGCAAGTCCTAGGCTCAGTGGTTTAACCCACAGCACCACCCGTGTACGAGACTGTTATCACTGAGATCACTTCTCATTTGGCACATTTAAAGATGCCCTTTAGAGATGCATCATTATAATCTGAGTGACAGGAGGCTGCTGTTTTAATTTAATTTTAATATTTTGGCTCAGGTGCAGAAATGTTTCCAGGCAGACAGGCAGATATTACATTAGCCAAGGGTGCCACACAGTTAAGTGAAGGCCTCTGGGGATGTGCCACAAATCCTTGGGGAGGTTTCGCATACATCATAACCCAAGTCTCCTGCAGCATTTGGAAAATGGTCACAATATTGTTGTTTCAGCAGGTCTAAAGCTGGGCTTTTGTTGTTGTTTAATTTGATTGGGCGCTAAGGGATTGACTGAATTGTCTTTATCACGGCCTCGTTTTCTCTCGTTCCAATGAATATTTCATGCAGCCTTGCCCTGCTTCTCTCTAGTTTGGTGATCTTTCCACCCCACCCTTCCTTGTTAAAAATAAAACAAAATTGCAGCAGCACGAAAGAATACAACTAGTCAGCAGCAGCAACCCAAAGCAGCAATTAAAACACCTCCACCACATGAGAAGAATCATTATGTCTGTTATTACACCTCCACTGTAGAAACAATATGCATCTGAATACGAGGTGCTGGGAACCGCAGGTGGGAAAAGTGCTGCTGCGCATCTCTCTCTGTTGGGGAGAAAATAAGCAGGTCTGTGCGGGGGCCACGACTGAGAAGGCCCTCCTGCCAGTTGCCACCCGCCTCACTTTGGTGGTTCTCGGCAGGCTTCCAAAGAAATAACACCTGGGGGGGCAGCCATGTTAGGAGGCACCAATTCTTCAGCTACCCACGTCCCGAGCTGTGTGGTGGAACTGGGAGCCAGTGCAATTGTTTCGGCACTGGGGAGCTGCCCAGCACCAGTTGGCATCCAAGCAGATAAATAATAATAATAATAATAATAATAATAATAATAATAATAATAATTTATTTATACCCCATCCATTTGGCTGGGTTATCCCAGCCACCCTGGGCGGCTCCCAGCTGAGTATTAAAAACACGATAAAACATGAAACATCTAAAACTACCCTAAACAGGGCTGCTTTCAGATGTCTTCTAAATGTCAGATACAGTGGTGCCGTGATTTAAGAACAGCTTAGTTTATGAACAACACGGATTAAGAACGCTGCAAACCCGGAAGTAGGTGTTTTGGTTTATGAACTTTGCCTTGGAATAAGAACATGTTTCGCTTCCTGCTGTGTATGTTCCATTTGTAAATTGAGTCCCCCGCTGCTATGGGAAAGCACGCCTTTGCTTTAAGAACGCTTTGGTTTAAGAACGGACTTCCGGAACGGATTAAGTTCGTAAACCAAGGTACCCTGTAGTTGTTTATTTCCTTGACATCTGATGGGAGGGCGTTCCACATGGCGGGCGCCACCACCGAGAAGGCCTTCTGCCTGGCTCCCTTTAACCTCACTTCTCGCAGCGAGGGAACCACCAGAAGGCCCTCAGAGCTGGACCTCAGTGTCTGGGCTGAACAATGGGGCGGAGACACTCCTTCAGGTCTACTGGGCCGAGGTCATTTAAGACTTTCAAGGTCAGCACCAACACTTGAATTGTGCTCAGAAATGTACTGGGAGCCAATGTAGGCCTTTCAGGACCAGTGTTATACGGTCTCAGCGGCTGCTCCCAGTCACCAGTCTAGCTGCCACATTCTGGACTAGTTGTAGTTGTAGCAATGGCTGAAGCCATACAACCTGGCCTTGCAGTAGCTCGGTGGCTGACTGGAGGCCTGGGCTCGTGGGCGGCCGCAGCTGGCTCTGGGCCTAGTACATCAGGTTACGCCGCACCTCCCTCTTGGTGGCCCTGATTCCCAGATTGCAAACCTCCTCCTTTTGGTGGAGTGCAACCACATCCGGAACAAGTTGAAACAGCCTCCCAAAGCACATAAACACCCACCAGTCTTAATCTGAGCTGAGCTTCAGTTTATTGACTTCATGTGGCACATGACGGGTGCCAGGCACCCAACCTAGCATGCACACTGCCTCACCTGAAATCGGATGTAAGGGAGTAGTAGAGTTGAGCATCATTAACCCATTGATGACCTCTCCTGCAACTCATCTCTTCATGGCCTCAGGTGTATCAATTCTGGGGAAACTTTCCCCCCTTTTAGGGTTGTTTTCCTTCAGGAGTAATCTTGGAGCGGGGGCTTGCATGACGCTTGGGTAACCATTTTTTCTCTCACTTCATTTTTTCTCTCCCTGATCCCCTCTTCTCCTTCGCGAACCAGAGCAGCGCACGGAAACACCGTTTACCTTCCCGTCGGAGTGGTACCTATTTATCTACTTGCACTTTGACGCGCTTTCAAACTGCTAGGTTGGCAGGAGCAGGGACCGAGCAACGGGAGCTCACCCCGTCGCGGGGATTTGAACTGTCACCTTCTGATCGGCAAGTCCTAGGCTCTGTGGTTTAACCCACAGCGCCACCAGCGTCCAAAACTGAACTACTGTGTCGCAAAATGGTGCATGTCTAAACAGTGTGTCACCAACATGGAAAGTTTGGAAAGCTCTGCTCTTGTCAGAGGTCTGAGCTGATTGCTTGCTTGTAGATCACTTTTGAAATCAGGCTGCAGCTTGGCCCTGCCCCACGTGAAACAGAGGTTGGAAACCATGGGGGCAAGGAAACCCAGGTAGGTATTGCCCCACAGAAGCACAGGACCCCCCCCCCCAAACTCCAGTTCAGAGAGCTAATTCACAATGCCATGACTCATTGGCAGATAAAACCACTCAAGGTTTCAAGAGAATTATAGCAGGATTGTATTCTCCTCATCCTCCCAAAACAGGGTAGCCAAAGCAGTTCCTGTGCCAAAACCAGGCCAAATTGGATACAGGAAAGGAATAGTAGCTATCAGACAATAATTGCTACCCTCTTCTGGGCTCCAAGGCTTTTTGAGGGCACGTCCGGGAATCACTCCCAAAAATTTGCATCTGGGCGGATTTTTGCCAAATCGGCCAAGTGTCTGGGAAAACCCGGACATATGACAAGTGGAGCAATTTTTAACAGTGCCTTAAAAATCCCCCCAAAGCCTCAAAATGTAAATGATGTTCCCAAAAGAAGTTCAACAACTTTGACCAAGAACAAAACAAAACCTCTGTCCGGATTTTCACATTTGGGAACCTTAATTATGGGAGCGGGTGGGGTGTGATCTTGTGGCTTCCTCCTAATGCTGAGATTTGACATGCCATTTTTCAACGTGACATCTAAAAACCACCCTCCCAAGCTGCTCACATTTCCTCATGTACATACACAGAGGCATCACTTCCTCTCCATACTCGCTTTAACTAAAACCACACTATTTCCCTAGCTGACCCATGCTATATTAATATCTTTGCTTCCATCTCACATACTTACATCATTCCTGCCATTGGTATTGCATCTTTCCTCCACAGAGCTCAAGGCGGTATGCCTCATTTTATCCTCTCAAAAACTCAGTAAGGCTGTGATAGTGATTCACCCAGTCACCAATGTGTCTTAAATATATATATATATATATATATATATATACACACACACACACACACTTTTCAATATCACCTGTTCATGCACCTTTCCTTTTTCTGTCAGAGTTACTGTCTTGTGTGAAGCATCTTCCTGAGTAGAAAGCCCATGTTGGTTGCCTGGTTTGTGTCAACATTGGAAAAGGACTTTTGGTTTCTTGTTGTTGGCATGTGTCTGCTTCCAGAGACAAAGGAGTGTGTCTCGTGTGTGTGTGTGTGTGTGTGCGTGACTAAACTGCTGGAGAATCACAGCGCCTGCTGTGGCTGCAGAGACCCGTAACTCATACCCGCTGCCTCTTGTGTTATTTTTGCTGCGTTAGCAGCACTGAAGTGATCTCCCCAGGGCTTGAGCCTGCCTGGGCAGTATGTCTGGAGGTCCTGGGCTGCTCAGACGACAAGACTTCCCTTCTCAGCCTCACTGACATGATCCAAATGTAAGCAGAGCCACACATTTGGCACCAGCTTGGCTGCAGGAATTGCCAGAAGGAGACATACAAGACGCCATCCAACCTTCTTAGGGCCTCCACTCTGGATTTGTGTAGGGTCTACTATTCCCTTGGGGACGTGGGTGGCGCTGTGGGTTAAACCACAGAGCCAGGACTTGCCGATCAGAAGGTCGGCGGTTTGAATCCCCGCGACGGGGTGAGCTCCCGTTGCTCGGTCCCTGCTCCTGCCAACCTAGCAGTTCGAAAGCACGTCAAAGTGCAAGTAGATAAATAGGTACCGCTCCAGCGGGAAGGTAAACGGCGTTTCCATGCACTGCTCTGGTTCGCCAGAAGCGGCTTATTCATGCTGGCCACATGACCCGGAAGCTGTACGCCGGCTCCCTCAGCCAATAAAGCGAGATGAGCGCTGCAACCCCAGAGTCGTCCGCGACTGGACCTAATGGTCAGGGGTCCCTTTACCTTTACTACTCCCTTAGCCTTTTCTTCTCCCGAAGATGTCCCACAAGACAGTGGGCATGGATTTTTGCTGCCAAAGCCTTTCTCACAAATGAGTATAGCCGCAAGGCAGCAGAGATTTAGGATCACGAGTTTTCCTTCTCCTAGAGGGGTTACCTTCCCTGGTCGACGAGCCCCATCTGTCGCTCATTTCCCTCGACAACATGTGCAGTCACTGTCTTCTTGACCGCTGGACCCACGATTGGTCTCGTTTCCTCAATCCGCCGGAGCCTGTCTTCGCAGGCAGGGGATAGACAAGTCCCTAACCCATCAATGGTTTAAGACTGCCCTCACCTGAGTTAGCCACCCACTCAAAGCTGTTTCCCTGATGTGGTCACTGCCGCATGCTCATAGCTTCTAGGTGCCACGGGTGAGAGCTCTCAAGTGCAGGGTAGGAACCAAAGGTGGACAAACAATGTCTCCCCTAACACCCAAACTTTGGAGGCAAAGGAAGCTGCAAAGAAACGAGAGGCCCCCGAGTTAGTTCCTTATTAAATTACTTTTTATTATCTGCATAGAAGATTAAAATGGAAAATAAAAATTCATCTCTGGAACCCATTGGCCTAGCATTAAAAAAGAAGGAGCAGAAAAGTGGATTCATTATTTGTAAGAAGGTCACTTTGCTTAGAGGGTGCTGGAATGTGTTTTCCCAGAGGATTCAGCAGCTGTTTGGCACGTGGCAATTCAGGGGTAGCCTGTAAAGTGCGGAAGGCACAAGAACTCTGCTACAAAGTGCATTAATTTAAAAACAAAACAGAAAACCCCCCCACCCTTTCTTATCGCTGTTAGAATCAAAATGTCCGCTAACGTTTCGTCTCCCTAGGAGTCCAAGTCCGACAAGTCTTACGCGTATCAAATGCTTGCTGGGCCCGAAGCAGCCAGGTATTTTGTCTGCAGAGGCCGGAGAGTGACGGAAGGGAAAGGATTGTGGCTCCGAGTGGCGGCGGCAGATCGGCACAAGGAAGCCACTGCCTTCTTTCCACCTTTCTCTGTCGGAAATGTGATCCACAGCTGATGTCGCCAGAGCTCAGGTGATCCCTGATGGGTTGGACCTTCAGGGGAAAGGAGTTGTGCAACTAGCCAAGGGCCTTCCTTTGCTCCTCTGTCCTTTCCCAGCTGTCCTCTGGCCTGCCCCCTAAGGGCTGTGGTCTGCCCCCTCTTCAGGGAGAGGTCATTTGCAAAGGGACACCTGCAGCTTCTGCTGGTATTCCTCCCGGCGGACGCAGCGAGGACAGAAACTGGCATTTGCCTGGCAGCTGCTGTGGAAGACAGTCTTGCACACCTTGCACCTGTTGGGAAAAGAGGAGGTTAATCGCTGAAGCAATTCATGCAACCTGGAAGGGAGGGGAAAGAAGTACAGACAGCCCATTAAAGCGGGGATGGGGTAGAGAACTCCCCCTGTCAAGAGCCGCATTCCCTCAAGCGGAATCTGTTGGGGGCCACATCCCACAGATGTGGGCAGGGCTGAAGTCAGTGGTGGGACCAGTCATTCTCCCACCCTCACCTTCTGACACCCAATTCTTCTTCTCTTCTCTCTTTCTTCCTCCACATCTAGCAAGCTGCCAAGGGAGGCACAGGTCTACAGAGCTCTGAACCGATTGCGTGCAGGTTTTTTTTACAAAATTATGCTTAGTGAAACATGTTAAATTAACTTAATCGGAAAGCTTTCAATTACCAGATAGGCTTAGGATTTAAATATGCAATGTGATGAATTAATATGTTTAAAGTTGAATGGTTAAGAAAGAAAGATGCTAAGCGATTAAGTTAAATTTTTAAGAGTTTAGGTTTTGGAAAACCATTAAAATGATATACAGTGAAATTCAACCAGGGGGATACGAGGAAGTCACTTAATAATGTTATGAAGATCGGTTTATTTATGGTGGAGATGTATGTCTGTCTGTTTGTTTGTTTTTTTGTTTTGAAAAAAAATTCTGGAAAATTAATAAAATTTTTTGAAAAAAACAAAAACAAAATTATGCTTAGGAATGTTGGCTACCACCCTCTCCATCCCCTGTCTCGCCACCCCTTTTCAAGTCACCATGCTGGGCTTGTTTAAAAACCTCTCTGTGAATTGTGCGATCTGTTCAGTTCAGAACAAACTTCCATGCTTCAAGTCACTGCGTTTGGCTTTTGGAAGAACCTTCCCCCCCTGTTTGCAGCCAGCACGCAGCACAGCCCTCGGACTTATTTTTCTCTTTTCCTCTACTCAAAAGCAGACTGGTAACTTTGTGCCCCTGCGGCTGAACGGCTACGCAAGAGGAAGTGACCCCAGGCTGCCACCTGTGCAGGACAGCGATTCAGGAAGCGCCTGCTCCTCCTCGGAGCTATTGTCAGGAGAGCTCCAGGCACATCCTGCCTCCCCGGGTAAATAGCCTGATTCGGGCGACAGGAAACTGCATCAGCTCAGCAAGCAGGCACTCTTCCTGCCTCAGCACAAAGCCAGTGAGCAGAGGGCGGCAATCTTCTGTGAACCAGGCCTGCCGACGGCTCTCTTGTCTGCGCTGCTCCGATCCCGCAGCCTTGTGAGATTGAGCTGGGGTGCGGGTAAAAGGAAGTCGGGTATTCAAAAGCTACTTTAAAGGAGGAACTGGGGCCTGAATTCCTGTTCAGCGTTCTGACCGTCCCCGCAGAACAGAGAAGAGGAAGACGTTCTCTTCCAGAAGCTGTTGGTCCACTGGTGGTGAAGGCTGAAGGGAACTGCAGGGCCAACATCATCCTGATGGCTTGTTGTTGTTTAGTCGTTTAGTCGGGTCCGACTCTTCGTGACCCCATGGACCAGAGCACACCAGGCACTCCTGTCTTCCACTGCCTCCCGCAGTTTGGTCAAACTCATGCTGGTAGCTTCGAGAACACTGTCCAACCATCTCGTCCTCTGTCGTCCCCTTCTCCTTGTGCCCTCCATCTTTCCCAACATCAGGGTCTTTTCCAGGGAATCTTCTCTTCTCATGAGGTGGCCAAAGTATTGGAGCCTCAACTTCACGATCTGTCCTTCCAGTGAGCACTCAGGGCTGATTTCCTTCAGAATGGAGAGGTTTGATCTTCTTGCAGTCCATGGGACTCTCAAGAGTCTCCTCCAGCACCATAATGCAAAAGCATCAATTCTTCGGCGATCAGCCTTCTTTATGGTCCAGCTCTCACTTCCATACATCACTACTGGGAAAACCATAGCTTTAACTATACCGAACTTTGTTGGCAAGGGGATGTCTCTGCTTTTTAAGATGCTGTCTAGGTTTGTCATTGCTTTTCTCCCAAGAAGCAGGCGTCTTATCCTGAAGGCTGGAGGTTGCCACTGAAGCATTATCCCCCCCCCCCAATTTTCAAAAACGCTGCCCTCTTACAATACAGTGGACGCTCAGGTTGCGAACTTGATCTGTGCGGGATGTACGTTTGCAACCCGCAGTGGTGCATCTGCACATGCGCGGGTTGCAATTCGGCGCTACTGCACATGTGCGACCGCCGAAACCCAGAAGTAACCCGTTCCGGTACTTCTGGGTTTCGGCGGTCCGTAACCTGAAAAACGCAACCTGAAGCGTCTGTAACCAGAGGTATGACTGTAATAGGATTGGAAGGGATGTCATGGAACAGCATTGTGCCTGAAGACAATATACCTAAAGCATCCCCAATGAACACCTTGCCAAGCCTTATTCCTCAGCTGCACCTTGAGCTCCAGGGCATTGCAGGGTGTGTGTTTTTTGTAATTTTATTTATTTATTTACTGATTTTATACACCGCCCTATACCCAGGGGGTCTCAGGGCGGTTCACAGAATAAAATCAAGATATAAAACCACAAAATGCATAATAAAAATAGAAACAACAACCCAATAGCCCCCCCAAAAACACATGTTAATCATGTGTTTATATCTTTTTGGTGTATTTTTAATTTTTCGTTATGTATGCTTTTATAATCGTAAGTCACTTTGGGGCATTTTTGTTGTAAGAAATTAATAAATGTAAATAAATAAATAAATAAATAAATAAATAATAAAGATAAAGGTAAAGGGACCCCTGACCATTAGGTCCAGTCGTGGCCGACTCTGGGGTTGTGGTGCTCATCTCGCTTTATTGGCCGAGGGAGCTGGCGTACAGCTTCCGGGTCATGTGGCCAGCATGGCTAAGCCACTTCTGGCGAACCAGAGCAGCACACGGAAACGCCGTTTACCTTCCCGCCGGAGTGGTACCTATTTATCTACTTGTACTTTGACGTGCTTTCGAACTGCTAGGTTGGCAGGAGCAGGGACCGAGCAACAGGAGCTCACCCCGTTGCGGGTATTTGAACCGCCGACCTTCTGATCAGCAAGTCCTAGGCCTCTGTGGTTTAACCCACAGCGCCACCCGCGTCATAATAATAATAATAATAATAATAATAATAATAATAATAATACAAATTTATAAAGAAATGCTTATTTGTCACCTCTCCCCCTCCATTGCAAACTAGGTAGTGTGGTGCAACAGTTAGAGTGTTGGACTATGGCCTGGGAGACCAGGGTTTGAATCCCCATTCAGCCATGAAGGTACCTGGGTGACCTTGGGCCAGCGACCGTCTCTCAGCCTAACCAACCTCACAGGATTGTTGTGAGGGTGAAGTGGGGAGGAGGAGAACCATCTACACCACCTCGAGCTCCTTGGAAGATAAAGGTGGTATATAGACACGTGACAAATAAATGAATAAAAATGAACACAGCTGCGAAAAACGAATCGCTTCTTTGAAAACTTGACACCAAAGCCAAGTTGGGGAAGAGAGGAAGAACGCTCACCTGGTCGTCGTGTCAAATTCAAAGGGGAAGATGATGTCGTTCCTGTTGCAGATCTCGCAGATGAAGCCCCTCTGGGTGCACAGGTCGCAATTGTAGACGTGATGGGAGGCAAACTGAATTAGAGACTGGAGGAATGTCTCAAACACGCCATCCGCTATCTAGGAACAGAGGAGGGCTATTAATAATAATAATAATAAAAAATTATTTATATCCCGCCCTCCCCAGCCGAAGCCGGGCTCAGAGCAGATAACAGCAATAAAAGTAACACAGCATTCTAAAATTAATATTTTAAAATACCGTATTTTTTGCTCTATAAGACTCACTTTTCCCCTCCTAAAAAGTAAGGGGAAATGTGTGTGCGTCTTATGGAGCGAATGCAGGCTGCGCAGCTATCCCAGAAGCCAGGAACAGCAAGAGGGATTGCTGCTTTCACTGCGCAGCGATCCCTCTTGCTGTTCTGGCTTCTGAGATTCAGAATATTTTTTTTCTTGTTTTCCTCCTCCAAAAACTAGGTGCGTCTTGTGGTCTGGTGCATCTTATAGAGCGAAAAATACGGTAATTTGAAATGGCAACCACTGGGCCAGAGTTCTACGAGGATCACCAAAGGAGGGGGTCAGACTGTACCTTGGCCAAAGGCCTGGTGCTGGTGGAACAGCTCTGTCTTGCAGGCCCTGCGGAAAGATGTCAAGTCCCGCAGGGCCCTAGTCTCTTGTGACAGAGCGTTCCACCAGATCGGGGCCACAGCCGAAAAAGCCCTGGCTCTGGTTGAGGCCAGCCTAACCTCTCTGTGGCCTGGGACCTTCAAGGATGTTTTTATTTGGTCCTCCATGGGACATATCAGGAGAGGCGGTCCCGTAGGTATTAGCAGGTGGGGAAGGGTGGTGGTAAAAGGGAAACTTTTATCTATGAGGCAGCTGTGAATAGAGGCCAGGTGACTGACTCACACCTGAAGTTCTGACACAGAAAACAAAGCATCTGCAACATGCAGGACAAAAGGGAAATTTGGCACATATTGGGGAGAGTACCAATGAGGTTCCATGCGAGCCCTTAAGACCCCAAAGCTGTTTTTGAAGCTCTCTCAAGGCAAAGGAATAAAAGCTTGCTTCGGAGCATGCTCAGACCAGTTTCTCTATTTTGGTTCAGCACGCTGCATTCTAACGTGTTTAGGTTAAGGGGCGCCAGCCTTGGGCTGGGTCGTGGGGGAATCATGGATAGAGTGGGGTACGTTTTCCCGAGGCAAACCCTCGTTTCAGAAGCTTCCTCTTTCCAGATCTCCTACCTGCCTCAGGTCAGCCACGCTGTATTTATGGGGACATTCCAGGAGGTAGTGCCGGTGATCGAGCCTTCAGAAAGGATAAAAAAGAGGAGGAACAGTTTGTTAAGAGCTTTTCCCATCTGCTGTCACGAGCTGCATAGAAGCCATACAATTCCTATACTCCTAATTGGCTTGCAAGGACAGGGCGATAGGGAAGGCCACACACTTTCTTGCATGTCTACGGTCAACCTCCTTCGGCTGTTTCCCCCCATCTCATTTCTCTGCATCTCCTGCTTCTACATTTGCCACAGATATAAAAAACGCTTTGAAAATGCTTTTTTTAAAAAGTTGTAAAGTATATATGGAATTTGCCATTAGCTCATCAGTGCCATCTACTGTCAGATTTGTATAATGCACCTAAAACATTGTAAAAAAGAAAAGGTAAAGGACCCCTGGACGATTAAGTACAGTCAAAGGATACTCTGGGGTTGCAGCGCTCATCTCACTTTTGAGGCCGAGGGCGCCAGCGTTTGTTCAGACAGCTTTCTGGGTCATGTGGCCAGCATGACTAAACCGCTTCTGGCGCAATGGAACACCATGATGGAAACCAAAGCACACAGAGACGCTGTTTACCTTCCTGCCACAGCGGTACCTATTTATCTACTTGCGCTGGTGTGCTTTTGAACTGCTAGGTTGGCAGGAGCTGGGACAGAGCAATAGGAGCTCACCCTGTCACAGCGATTAGAACTGCCGACCTTCTGATCGGCAAACCCAAGAGGCTCAGTGGTTTAGACCACAGCGCCAACTGCGCCCCCTGTTGTTGTTTAGTCATGTCCGACTCTTCATGACCCCATGGACCAGAGCACGCCAGGCACTCCTGTCTTCCACTGCCTCCCGCAGTTTGTTCACACTCATGCTGGCAGCTTCGAGAACACTATCCAACCATCTCGTCCTCTGTCGTCCCCTTCTCCTTGTGCCCTCCATCTTTCCCAACATCAGGGTCTTTTCCAGGGAGTCTTTTCTCCTCATGAGGTGGCCAAAGTATTGGAGCTTCAGGATCTGTCCTTCCAGTGAGCACTCAGGGCTGATTTCCTTAAGGATGGAGAGGTTTGATCTTCTTGCAGTCCATGGGACTCTCAAGAGTCTCCCCCAGCACCATAATTCAAAAGCACCAATTTTTCAGCGATCAGCCTTCTTTATGGCCTGCATCCCCAAGCTGAGTCCAAAGTTTCTAAGCCTCATGGGTTGAAGGACAGATTTTGTATAAGGTACAGCAATCCCTAAATCATATGCCGAGATGCACTGGTGTGCTGTGAGAAGGGCTGAGACATTCCTTGGAAAACTATACCACTATGTTGGATGAATCCCACCATTCTGTCCCTGTTGGGAGTAGGGCACATCCACTGATCCTGCTGCACGGACCCTCTTCTCTCTTTGCCAGTGCAGAGGCAGTGAAATCTCTTTTAGGGATTGCCTTGATGCAGCCTGTGCCTTAACGGACATACTTGGGGGAATCCCCATAGCATCACCATTGCCCAGAAAGAAGAGCTCCAAGACTGGGGAAGGTGAGGCATCAGGAAGCACTGGCAAGGAAGAGGTCCGCCCTTGGTTTTGGAGCCAGTCAATAATATACAGTGGTAAAAGGTAAAGGTAAAGGTACCCCTGCCCGTACGGGCCAGTCTTGACAGACTCTAGGGTTGTGCGCCCATCTCACTCTAGAGGCCGGGAGCCAGCGCTGTCCGAAGACACTTCCGGGTCACGTGGCCAGCGTGATGAAGCTGCTCTGGAGAGCCAGAGCAGCACACAGAAATGCCGTTTACCTTCCCACTAGTAAGCGGTCCCTATTTATCTACTTGCACCCGGGGGTGCTTTCGAACTGCTAGGTTGGCAGGCGCTGGGACCGAGCAACGGGAGCGCACCCCGCCACGGGGATTCGAACCGCCGACCATGCGATCGGCAAGTCCTAGGCTCTGTGGTTTAACCCACAGCGCCACCCGCGTCCCAATATAAAGTGGTACCTCGGGTTAAGTACTTAATTCGTTCCGGAGGTCCATTCTTAACCTGAAACTGTTCTTAACCTGAAGCACCACTTTAGCTAATGGGGCCTCCTGCTGCCGCCGCGCCACCAGAGCACGATTTCTGTTCTTATCCTGAAGCAAAGTTCTTAACCTGAAGCACTATTTCTGGGTTAGCGGAGTCTGTAACCTGAAGCGTATGTAACCCGAGATACCACCGTACATTTGTTCAGTGGAAAGCTAAAGCATGCCTCTAATGTTAATCTGGACGCAAAAACTGTGGAGGTATCAAAAGTTTGGGGAAGAACAGTATTGACGGTACAGAATATAGCCTTTTTTCCTTAGTGAGGATTTTCTTTTTAAAAAATAACAAAATAGAAATGATACACATCTCTGCTTATTTCCTCGACAGCAGTATGTTTAGGTTGTTCAACAGACATTTAAGCACATTCCAATTAGTTTCCCCCCCAAAAGCATTTCTTAATTTGATGATGGAACAGTGCCCTGGATAAGTAACTTGCAAGCAGCAAGTATTTGCAAGCAGCCTCAAGTCCACTCCTAAGAATCTTGTTCAACTGAGGACCAACTCAGGAAAAGAGGCTCTGCCCAAAATCTCATTCTTTCTTTGAAATCGTCACCTGGAGGGTTTATGGAGGGAGCGTTCCTTTTTTGAAATGTACATAAAAAATGAAGCCAAGTTCTTCAGGGATCTGCATGACATTTTCCATGCATGTTAGCTGCCTGCCATATCTAGTTGCCTTATCTAGTTAGGAACATGGACAACAGAGAGTGGGTCAAAGGCTTGGGGCCTGGAAGAAAGGGGGGGGGAGAAGGTGGACCCCTTGTATAGTGAAGCCTCACCTCTTGCTCATCTCTTTCAGGGCTCCACTGCGACAAAGGACCAGGTAGTCACCAAGGAGTTTCAGCTGCTCCCGGCTCTTGTAGATGTGGCTCATGTGGTCCACATGGTCATAGAGAGTCTCGTTCACTAGTTTCAAGTTGATCAAGGGCTGGCTATGAATTTGGGACAGGAACTTCAGAGCCTGGCGGCAGACCTAAGAGATGAAAACACCTGTAAGTGTCCTACGCTGGCAACTAGAGAAGCCAGCCAGAGGGGCTGGGTACAATTTCAGGCCAGCACCCTGGATATTTCCCATTATCAGTTCCCTTTATCTTCCTCTCAGCGTTGACAAGCCCAGATTTTTTGCAAGTAAAGGTAAAGGGATCCCTGACCATTAGGTCCAGTCGTGACCGACTCTGGGGTTGCGGCGCTCATCTCGCTTTATTGGCCGAGGGAGCCGGCATACAGCTTCCGGGTCATGTGGCCAGCATGACTAAGCCGCTTCTGGCAAACCAGAGTAGCATACGGAAACGCCGTTTACCTTCCCGCTGGAGCGGTACCTATTTATCTACTTGCACTTTGACGTGCTTTCGAACTGCTAGGTTGGCAGGAGCAGGGACCGAGCAACAGGAGCTCACCCCGTCGCAGGGATTCGAACTGCCGACCTTCTGATGGGCAAGTCCTAGGCTCTGTGGCTTAACCCACAGCGCCACCCGCGTCCCTCAGAATCAGGACAAATAAGAAATTGTTATAAGAATTTTAAGGTCTCAAATACAGAATATTCATAAATGCACACATATCTAAATGTATGAACCATGTGTCTGAAATAGTACGGAAGAGCAATCTTGAAGCCATTTTGACTCTCCCAATGATCTCAAATATTCCTCTGCAGTGAGGGAGGCAAATGGGGAAAGCCTTCCCATTGTCTTTTTGCTTGCAAATCCTGTCCAAAGGGAGTCTTTGTGTATGAATAGCGTGAGCCTGTGACCTGGATTCAGGAACTAAAGTATTAACAATCACAAAAGAATGGCCAGACTGCCCAGGTAATGCAATCAGTGACCATTATCAGGTATCCTGGCAGACAGGATTTCTGCTGTAGACCGCCTCCTTCTGTGATGTATGTGTGATATTTTAGGGGGGTGGTTGTGGGCTACAGGGTGGGCAGTTTCAAAAGTCTATATAAGGGCTTGTGCACCGTTTTTCAGGGTTCTCCTCCCTCCTGCGTGTGGTGAGTGGGAACCCTGTTGCAACAGCTCCTTGAATAAAAATCAGGCTTAGTAGCTACTTTGCTTCTCAATATACTCTGGTTGGCCTCTGTTATTTTTTTCTACCAATAGGGAACCCACTTAAGGACTCTATATGGGCTCCGGAATACCCCATAAAGGAAAGGGAGCAGTTTTTATTATAACAAAACGAACAATGCACAAGCCACATCGGGAGTCAATCGGACCATTGTATGCCCCACCCCTCACTGGGGATGTTGCCACCCCAGGCCTGTGCCCCCTATCCTCAAGTCGCCCAGACTTACCGGACGCCTGGTGAGATCCCAGTTGTGAATCAGCCGCGAAGGAATCACGGACTCTTCATCCCAGTGGCAGCTGTCGCAATAGTAGAGGCCTGTGAATGCGCAGAGCTTGGGCTTCACGAAGGAAAAGCCAATCTGCCTGGAGCAGCCTGGAAAGAAAAGCAGGAATGGTAATGGCTGCCGGCCACAACAGCGACATTATATCTCCCCTGTCAGAGTGTCAGGCACTGGACTGAAAGGGGCGAGTTGGAGGAGGAATGGTGGAGGCCGCCCCCCACCCCTTCTCCTGAAGCTTCCAGAGGAGAGGAAGCCAGTACAGTGGTACCTCGGGTTATGTACTTAATTCCTTTTGGAGGTCCGTACTTAACCTGAAACTGTTCTTAACCTGAAGCACCACTTTAGGTAATGGGGTCTCCTGCTGCGGCCGTGCCGCCGGAGCCCGATTTCTGTTCTTATCCTGAAGCAAAGTTCTTAACTTGAAGCATTATTTCTGGCTTAGTGGAGTGTGTAACCTGAAGCGTATGTAACCTGAAGCGTATGTAACCCGAGGTTCCACTGTACAGTGGACGCTCGGGTTGAGAACGTGATCCGTGCAGGATGCATGGGTTGCGATTCGGCGCTTCTGCGCATGCGCGATTTAGCACTTCTGCACATGCGCAACCGCCGAAACCCGGAAGTAACCCATTCCGGTACTTCCGGGTTTCGGCGGTCCGTAACCCGAAAACACACAACCTGAAAAGTCTGTAACCCAAGGTATGACTGCATTGAATTACAGCAGTGGTTTGAGGAAGGTCACAGCTCAGAGACAGGCGAACAGAAGAGTTGGGAGGTGTTGGGAGAAGGGAGGGGGGAGACAGAGCCAGGGGAGACAGAGACAGAGCAGAACAGCTGACACGTTGTCACTGGATATTATTTCTGACCCCCCTTCTCCCAGATCTCGACGTTCATTGAGGGTGCAAGAGCAAAGGACTCGGAGACAATTAGCCCCTGGCGGCCACCCTAAGGGAAAGTGCTGTTGGTAGGAAGGGAGGCGGGAGGAGCTCAGTTGGAGCAACGCCGTTAAGGGAGGCAGATTGCATTCCTTGTCTCTTGGTGTGATGACTGAATAAACTCATTAGTAAGAACTCTTTGTTTTTCTCTGCTCCTGGCGGCCACCGGGGAGGGAGAGAATTCCCTGGAGCCTGAAACAGAGGCAGGATGTCTCAGAATACCAGTTGCTCGGAATCGCTAGAATCGGAGAGCGCCACTGCACTCGGGTCCTGCTGGGCACCTGGTTGGCCACTGAGGCAACAGATTGCTGGATAAAATGAGCCTTTGGCCTGATCTAGCAGGGCTCTTCTTATGCTAAGGGTTCCTAAGGATGCTACCCCTTCAGGGATCACTGCCTTGCCGTGGCAAAGGGGCTTGAATAACTCAGAGAAGCTATGATGGACAGGTCCTAGTGGAGAGTTTTGACCAAATGTGATCCACCTGGAGCAGGAACCGGCAAGCCACTCCAGTACCCCTGCCAAGAAAACTCCCTGGACAAAGACAGGAGTGCCTGGCGTGCTCTGGTCCTTGGGGTCACGAAGAGTCGGACACGACTAAAGGACTAAACAGCAACAAGGATGCTACAAACTGGCCCTCGGCAATTTTGAGAGTCTTCTGTACAGTGGTACCTGTTGAGGTTGGAACTTAACTGGTTAAGAAGTTCCCAGGATGCCTCAACATTCTGACGTCAGCTGTGGAAGCTGGGAGGAGCCTGGGAGTGGTTTCTGTTCTGTTCCCCTCTGGCCGGTGAGGGAGAAAAGACGTAGCCGGTAATGGCTGCAAGGAGCCCAGGGGGAATCCCTGGGGGAATGTCGGAATAAAGAGCTGAAAAGGACAAGCCTGGACTCTGTGTGTGTTTGTCTGGAAGCTAAGGCAAAGGACGTGACAGTTTCATCACCGCTGTGCTTATCTCTGCTACTGTCGGACGACGGAGCTGAATGGCGCAGCTGAGGGAAGCGCGCCGGACCGGGCTGCAATAGCTAATTGAGGACCAATAAATCAATTAGCGGGAGTCGCGCCAATATCGTAAATCACCACAGGTTATGGGTACTAATCACCGCTTGTAAAACTGTCACTCAAGAGGCTGCCGGAATGCGTTTGAAGGCGGCAGGAGTTTTTGCCTGGTGTTAAGAGGCAAGGAGAGCTGCGGAGCTGGGAGCTAAGAGAGCAGCTGGAAAATCGTTTCTCCGGACGGGTGCTGGATGAGCTGGTGATCTTGTGAGTACAGCTTGGGGCCCCTTGGGAGAACGGAAGAGGATGGCAGGCTGCCAGGTCTTGGAGGACTGTGAGAGGCTCACTTTAAGAAGTTGGGCAACCTGGCTGCTGATCTGAAGTCTACTGTTCTGGGTGCCAGGAAGCCAGAGGCCGTTCAGCGCTCCAGGGTGTTTGTGAGGCTGGAGGCGGGAAGCAAGGGCTGGGAGATGGCTGCTTCAGAACAGAAAGCAAGATGGCGCTGATCACCTACGTGAGAGCCGGTGCACAGCTGGGAAGGGCTGTGGGCCCCAGAGGGGGGCAAAGGGACTAAGGGCTGCTTGGAAACGTGCTGCGTTTGCTGTGAAGCTTCAGCAGGAGGCCAGAGCCCTGGAGAAGGAATACAAAAGCCTAAAGATGGCTGGAGCCCCTGTCCCTGATGCTTTAGCCACAAGGAGCGCTACTGAGCAGGTCGGGGGGGCGAAGATTTCCAAAGGCACGTTTAAAGTTTTCCACTGTACGTGCTGGAATCAAGTGGAGGTGCAGAGGGGCGGAGCTGGCAAGGAGTGTTTTTCCGGAAGAAGGAGGGCCAGGCCAGCTGGGAGGAGCCCCGGAGCAGTATTTTTCCACTGGAGTTCGTCATTGCTACAGGCTTCAAGGCCAGCCATCTGCTGCAGCGGGAGACACGTGCTGCAGAGTTGTCTGGGAACTCTGAGATAAGTCCAGTCTTCAGAGCAACGCAGGATGTTGCGGTTTTCGGACGCTGCCAAGGACAGAGGGGGCAGCGGGACGTTTGTTGCTTCTATGGCAACTGTGAAGAACAACACCAGCCAGGACACGGTGACACGCTGGGTGTTTTGGTTTCTGCTGTCAGGCAGCACCTGATAGGCAAGCTGCGGAACTGCAGGGCTGTTTTCAACAGGAACATTTGTTTGTGGTGTGGCTAACGTGTTTTTCTCTCCTTTACAGGAGGAGCTAGAGATCTACGTTGTGCCGGGACTGAATTGTTGTCGGTTATCTGTATCTGCTCTAATGAAGCAGGGGTTCCAAAATGTGCTTTGAAAATGACACCTGTTCCATTTTCAGAGGGGGGCGACAACTGGTCAACATGGCGAAGAGCAAGAATAATTTCTTTGTTCTGGAGTCACCTCTGGAGGGTGGTGGGAATGCTGGAAAAAGCACAGGTGCAGTGTGCTAAGGTTCCCAGTGATGTGCAAAAGTTGCACAGGTGCACAAAAGGGTACAAACTCCAGAAATGTGGGAGGTCCCAAGGGTGCAGGGCATGCAAAGGTGCAAAGGTACTTGGTTTTCCCGGGTTTGGGAGGGTAGCCAAGGAAGCTTTTGAGCTTGTTCACACAGATCTGTCAGGACCCATGAGGTGTGAGAGTCTGGGTGGGGCCAGGTATGTGCCATCGCTGACAGATGACCACAGCCAGGTTGGCTGGTGTCTCTCTCTCAAACCACAGGGAGAGGCGGCGCAACTGATCAAGGATTGGGTTGCGGAGGTGGAACTAAAGTTCTCCACCAAGGTGCAAGGGTTCAAGAGCGACCGAGGGTCACAGTTTACTGGGTCTGCTCTGGAGAAATTTTTCAAGGAAAAGGAAAAACGTCACTAGGTGACGGGTGCAAAGTCTTCTCAAGGGAGAAGGGAGGCTGTGGCTGAGCCCGGTGACGGGGATCAGGTCCAGAATCAGGGTTCAAAACCCGGTGATGGGGACCAAGTCCAGGGTCAGGGTTCAGGGCAGGTTTGGGCATCTCCAAGGGTTGTGAAAGGAGTGTCCAGGTGTGAGGCTTCATCTCCGGTAATGGAGAAAGCTCACGGAAGGGGTGTCACGTCAGAGGGGAAGAGTCTGACGGAGAAGACACAACTGCTGGCCCTAATGGGTCAGTAGGGTATCAGGTCACAGGTGCGTGGAAAAGTGTCGCACAGTGTGATTCTGGGAATGTTGAAGGGGTTCAACAGGTGCCTGGGAAAGATGCCGGGAAGGGGCACAAGGCAAAGGGGAAGGTGTTGAACTCAGAGGGTCTTGTCAGAATGGTTTCAGCAAGAGGGGGGTGTTGAGGTTGGAACTTAACTGGTTAAGAAGTTCCCAGGATGCCTCAACATTCTGACGTCAGCTGTGGAAGCTGGGAGGAGCCTGGGAGTGGTTTCTGTTCTGTTCCCCTCTGGCCGGTGAGGGAGAAAAGACGTAGCCGGTAATGGCTGCAAGGAGCCCAGGGGGAATCCCTGGGGGAATGTCGGAATAAAGAGCTGAAAAGGACAAGCCTGGACTCTGTGTGTGTTTGTCTGGAAGCTAAGGCAAAGGACGTGACAGTTTCATCACCGCTGTGCTTATCTCTGCTACTGGCGTGACTGGAGCTGACTGAAGAGCTGCTGGAGACGGAGCAGAGTCTTGTCAGGGAAGTGTGCCGGGCTGCAATAGCTAATTGAGGACCAATAAATCAATTAGCGGGAGTCGCGCCAATATCGTAAATCACCACAGTACCTCGGGTTACATACGCTTCAGGTTACAGACTCCGCTAACGCAGAAATAGTACCTCGGGTTAAGAACTTTCCTTCAGGATGAGAACAGAAATCGTGCTGTGGCGGTGCGGCAGCAGCAGGAGGCCCCATTAGCTAAAGTGGTGCTTCAGGTTAAGAACAGTTTCAGGTTAAGAACGGACCTCCGGAACGAATTAAGTACTGTATTTTCCGCTCTATAAGATGCACCAGACCACAAGACGCACCTAGTTTTTGGCGGCGGAAAACAAGAAAAAAAATATTCTGAATCTCAGAAGCCAGAACAGCAAGAGGGATCACTGTGCAGTGAAAGGAGCAATCCCTCTTGCTGTTCTGGCTTCTGTGATAGCTGCGCAGCCTGCATTCGCTCCATAAGATGCACACACATTTCCCCTTACTTTTTAGGAGGGAAAAAGTGAGCCTTATAGAGCAAAAAATACGGTACTTAACCCGAGGTACCACTGTATCTGTTTCCCCACCCCGAGTTCTGCGTTGCAGCCACCTTGCCGCTCCCCAACCTACCCGCACAGATGAAGCTCTGGCAGTCCAGGCCTTTCTCTGTGGGGATGGCAACCAGGTACTTCAGGAGGAAGCCATTCCCCTTCGTGGTGCTTTTCAAAACGGCCTGCGAGTTCCCGTCCAGGTTGCCCCCCAGGCTCAAGGCCTCCTCCGCCGTCTCCAGGTACGACATCAGCATCCGGCGGACCAAGTCCCTCCAGTCGGCTGCCTCCTCCGCGTTCTCGGCTCTCAGCTTCAGCACCGCTTTCGACGTGATGACTTTGAAGAAGGCTGGGCCCCCCAGGCTCACGTCGGGCAGGATGTCCTGTATGGTCTCGATCCCGTAGCTGTTGCTCAGCGTTTTCTCCCCGTTCCGGGCTCTGAAGCACTTCAGGGCTTCTAAGGACAAGGAGAACACAAAAGGGGACCACGTCTTTTCAGTTTCCAGGTACAAAACAGACTCCTTGACCGCATCCAGCTCGGGGTCCAAACCACACGTCCAGTCCAGTCCGTTGCTGCCTGTCCCGTTGTATTGCAAGAGGCCGAAAGCTCGCCAGGCGGACCACCAGCAGAGTTCGCATCCGGGTCCTCCGCTGCTTCGGTGCCCTCCAGGGTCTCCCAGCCTTCGTCCGGCTGAGGCCTACATTTCTGAAGTGCCTCGTGCAGCCGGTCCAGCCAATCCTCCGCCTCGTCCCGAGAGGCGGCCCGGAGGCACAGCCGTTTGCCCGAGAAGGACAGGTCAAAGCGGCCGTCGCTGTGAGCTGCCCCCAGGCAATCGCACCGCAGCAGGGAACAGGTCTCCACGCACACCCGCTCCTCGCTGTCCACAAAGAGGCGCAGCTCCAGCGGCGAAAGCTCACAGAAGAACTCCTTCCAGATGCCCATGCCTCCTCGCCGCTCCAGGGTCCCCAGCTTCAGCAGACCACGGAAAGGGTTCGAAAGGCCTGGAGGTGGAGGATAAAAAAGAAGAAGGGTATTACAGACCCAGCCAAAGTGATTCAGAAGTCATAAATAACGATGCTGCTGACCACTGTTTTGTCTTAAGTCATAAGAATTCTAAGGTGACATAAACGAAATTAATGCTCATAAGCGCACAAGGAAAACACACATACATTAAGTACATAAACCACATGTCTGAAATAGTACAGGGGAGCAATCCCGTGGCCATCTTGACTCTCTTAACGACTCCAAATATTTTCCTCTGCAATAGAAGGAAGTACCTAGACAGCATCTTAAAAAGCAGAGACATCACCTTGCCAACAAAGGTCCGTATAGTTCAAGCTATGGTTTTCCCAGTAGTGATGTATGGAAGTGAGAGCTGGACCATAAAGAAGGCTGATCGCTGAAGAATGGATGCTTTAGAATTATGGTGCTGGAGGAGACTCTTGAGAGTCCCATGGACTGCAAGAAGATCAAACCCATCCATTCTGAAGGAAATCAGCCCTGAGTGCTCACGGGAAGGACAGATCCTGAAGCTGAGGCTCCAATACTTTGGCCACCTCATGAGAAGAGAAGACTCCCTGGAAAAGACCCTGATGTTGGGAAAGATGGAGGGCACAAGGAGAAGGGGACGACAGAGGACGAGGTGGTTGGACAGTGTTCTTGAAGCTAAAAACATGAGTTTGACCAAACTGCGGGAGGCAGTGGAAGGCAGGAGTGCCTGGTGTGCTCTGGTCTACGGGATCACGAAGAGTCGGACATGACTAAACGACTAAACAACAACAAATCAGTCCTGCACTGCAGGGGGTTGGAATAGATGACCCTTGGGGTCCCTTCCAGCTTGACGATTCTATGATGTTGGAAATAGTTCTTTTCAGTTGCAAAATCCTTCAAACCCTGTAAACAGACTTATCACATGAATAAGGGAAGTCTGGGACAATGGATTTAAGAACTAAGGTATTTACCATTTTGAAAGAATGGCCCAGACTGGCCAGGATAATGTAATCAGTGACCATTATCTGATATCTTGACAGACAAGCCACACTCTCAAATTTCTGTTGTACTGTAGACTGCCTCTTACTGGTATGATGCTTGGAGGTGGTCTTTGGCTAAGGGGGTCTGGCAAATTCTAAAGTCTTTAAAAGTTGTTACACACTTTTATTCTAGGCCCTCCCCTCCTTACAAGGGCGGGAACTCTGTTGCAACTGGAAAAAATATAAAGATTTGCCTTGCTTCGACTGGTTCCTGCCTCCACACGTTCTTCTCTGATTTAGGGGGACACTAAGTCTCTTGCTGGGGAGTTGGGCTGCTAAAGCCAACCCCAAATTTATCTTCTATCACTTTCTCCTCCCCGCCCCATCATTCGCCCCATGGCAGAAAGACCGTTACCCATTTGCCTCCGGTGAACGACGCTAAAGCCCTTCGATTCCGCCTCGGGGGACAGTTTGGGCTTCCTGGCCTTGGCTGAGGTCACGTGAAGCTTGTCTTGGTCCAGAGCGCCGCTTGGTATCGATGGCTGGCTATCGGCAGGACGCTCTGGCGAGGGACTGAGTGAACGGGAGAGACTTTTTGCTGTTCCCTCAGGAGGAGGAGAGGGAAGGTAAATGTCATCCTCGGTGATCCAGTTTGTTTCCTGTCGGGGAACAAAAAGAGCTGAATTCAGCTGGGCTATTCAACAGGGAAATTAACAAGTAGCAAATAACGTTTTTACCGTGCTAAGGGCTTTATAGAAGTGGCGCAGTTCCTGCCCAAGCCCTGCAGTAGGGCTGGAAGGCCTGTGCCCCTTGGCGTAATTTCAAGTAGCAGAGTGTGGGGAGTCCAAGGGAAAACCAGGATGAAAAACCAAAAGAAATGGAGAGATTGAAGGAGGGAAAATAAGTCTCCTATGAGCAATTAGTTCAGTCCCCCGACGAGACTGGTCCAGCTTCCTCCCAACATCCTGCTTGGACACAGAGGAAAAGGAAGGGAAGGGGTTTCCAAAAGAGAAAGAAAAATGGGGTGTTTTCTCCCACTTTTGGCTTTGACCCCAACCATCACCTGCACGAGCCTCCCTCAATGGATTTAGAACAGGGTCAGTATTTGGAGTGGGTAGGTTTATCAGTGGCTAAGACTAAATGTAGCCCCCTTGATCCAAGTCAATATACACCCCGATGACCATACGGTGGGAGACATTGTATAGAGGTGGTTGTTATCCTGAGGGTGGCCTGTTTTAAATTAAGGTGGTCGAAACCGTCAATTTTAAACCATCAAGAAAAGACACCAATGATAAAACTTGATGTAAATAAAGCTCACATACTTTTTGAGCAAGCATGCATTCTAAATGATTGCTCTAGTGATACGTATATATTGGTTTGTAACTAAATAGACACTTAAAGGTAAAGGGACCCCTGACCGCTAGGTCCAGCCGTGGACGACTCTGGGGTTGCGTGCTCATCTCGCTCTATAGGCCGAGGAGCTGGTGTTTGTCCACAGACAGCTTCCGGGTCATGTGGCCAGCATGACTAAGCTGCTTCTGGCAAACCAGAGCAGCGCACAGAAACGCCGTTTACCTTCCCGCTGGAGCGATACCTATTTATCCACTTGCACATGATGTGCTTTTGAACTGCTAGGTGGGCAGGAGCAGGGACTGAAAAGAATAGGACACTTAGGTAACCACAAATCAAAATGTCTGGCCATGCTGCTCACACAGCTTTTGGTATTGCAGAACCAAATATGTCTCCATATGAAGCAAAATAATTTACTTGAAGGTTTAGGCTTCTGTCTTATCCACCCTTATTCAGAAACAAGCACCACTGAACAAAGTGGAGTAAGATTTGGCTGTGGCATTAGTGTGTCCGAAAGCAAAATTACTGAGCGCAAAATTGTTTAATTGGTTTAAAGGTTACTAGTTTCTTCCAAACCGAACACAGTGCAGCGCTCAGGGAGTTGGGCTTAAGGGTCTATGCGGGCTGAGTTGATGATCCCAGAGAAATACAGGATGGCATGATTGAAGCAATGATTCTTCAACATCAACTTGGTTGGACTGGTCATGTTGTGCAGGTGCCTGATTATCGTCTTTGGTGGTCAACAGAAGAGGCTTAAAGACTCTCTCATGGCAAACGTAAAAAAATGTAGTATAAACACCGACAACAGGGAATCACTGGCCTGCAAGTGCTCCAACTGGAGAACAGCCTTTACCAAAGGTGTCACGGGCTTTGAAGACGCTCAAACTCAGGAAGAAAAGGAGGAACGAGCTGAGAGGAAGGCAAACTTGGCAAACCCTCACCATGATCGACTCCCACCCGGAAACCTAAGTCCCCACTGTGGATCCAGAACTGGCCTCCACAGTCACTTATGGACTCACTGCTAAGACCATGTTCATGGAAGGCAATCTTACTCAGCTACGAGTGTTAAGTTCAGATTTAATTTTGAATGAGGTTATCTTAAAGAGAGAGAAAATTATAACAGAAACTTTAAAAAAAGCAATTTTTTAAAATTTAAAAATCCACCAATTGTTAAGCATAGAATCATAGAATTGGAGAGTTGGAAGAGACTCAGAGGGTCATCTAGTCTGACCCCCTGCAATTCAGGAACAACCTTGATTATCATTATGGTTAATAATTTGTGTATCACTAGAAAAATGACAAGCACCATATCTGCAATGCATTCAGGAATTTGAAATATTTGTTCAGCCCCGCAAGGGATTTCTGCCTTGTTTGCCCTGGCAGTAGCTTTGCAAGATAGATGATTAATGTGCCTATTTTATAGATGAGGAACCAAGGCAATGAGTCACGGGCTGAGATGTGATATAAACCCATGGCTCCCAGATCTCTATAGACACAGGACCCACGGTGACTGGTTATGGGAACGCCTATCCGAAGTCTTAAGTGCAGCCAACTTTCAACCGCTGAACCTTAAGGTTTTAAAGGGCTCTCCTCTGTAGAATGCAGAGCAGGTATTTGGGCAGGTTGACTCAAGCAGCATGACATCACTTCCTGCTGCGTGTGTAACATATAGATTGGCTGACCGCCAGGTATGAGAGAGAGGCTTCCTTTGAAGGCAGCCAGTACAAAGAGGAAATGGAATTGGGGAGAGGAAGTTCCCAATTAACTGCAAGGAAAAGCATTTCCTGAACTGCAGATTAACTGCTTCGTCAACACCACTCACTCACTGAGAGGAGCAGGAGAGACTCTGCTAATTCTTGTACCTATAATTGGTATTAGTCACAAGAGCCTGGTTGATGTCAGACGAACAGCCACATTTGAGCTCGTTAAGCCTCCCCACACTCCCTCAGGTTCTCAGAGGATGGTGAATGAACAGTGAGATCGTGCAATAAGTAGTGATAATAAAAACTCAAGATTGACTAGTCAGTCTAATTTGGGCAGGGGGGCCTTTTTAAAAGCACAGTATGATCTCCTAACTCAGGACGCAGGTGGCGCTGTGGGTTAAACCACAGAGCCTAGGACTTGCCGATCAGAAGGCCAGCGGTTCGAATCCCCGCGACGGGGTGAGCTCCCGTTGCTCGGTCCCTGCTCCTGCCAACCTAGCAGCTCGAAAGCACATCAAAGTGCAAGTAGATAAATAGGTACCGCTCCGGCGGGAAGGTAAACGGCGTTTCCGTGCGCTGCTCTGGTTCGCCAGAAGCAGCTTAGTCATGGTGGCCACATGACCCGGAAGCTGTACGCCGGCTCCCTCGGCCAATAAAGCGAGATGAGCGCCGCAACCCCAGAGTTGGTCACGACTGCACCTAATGGTCAGGGGTTCCTTTACCCTTTACCTATGATCTACTAAAATTCCAAGCTTGTCCAAGAAGTCAAAAACCCTCTTGTGCACCAAACACATTCACACAACTCCAGGGACATGCTGTCACTGGCCTTTTGAGCAAAACATTTGGGCTTTTGCCCTTGCCACCAGAACTATACGGAAATCCCATTCTGAATTTTCTTTTCGCAAGAGCGAAATATTAAAGATTTTAACAGGACCTCATAGGATTGGGGGAAGCAAGATACGACTTACAGGTGAGATTGGTGAGAGAAGTCGTCCTGTCCTTGGGTGGCTTTCCTCACGGACAACAACTTGACTGATCCTATATTTAGCCCCTCCTCTCTTGAGGCTACGGTGAGTTTGAGATGCATCCGCTACTCCTTTAGCAGCATCTGCTGTGTCCAGCGCAGGTGATTGCTGGACCCTGGAACCGGGAGCTGCTTCCTTGGTGTGAGGTGGGTCACCTGGACTTGGAAGCTGTGAGTCTGCTGCGTCAGGAGGTTTGATGCTGGCAGGGTGTTTAGCTGTTACAGGACAAGGAAGGCGTGTGGTACAGAGATCAGTGGCAGGACAGGGGCACTGCAGTGAGGAAGAAGCCGACAAGGTGTCAGCTTGCTTGGCTTCTGTCGATTCCGGCTTTCCCTGTGCTCTGCTGAATTCTGCTAGCACCCTTGAAAGAAAAACAAAAGTTTAAAACAAAACTCAAAAGAGTGTGTGGGGGGGCATGTTATTTGTTTGATCGCATCTCCCACTATACCGTGTGCTATGCCAGGGTTTCCCAAACTTAGGTCTCTCTCCAGCTGCTTTTGGACTACAATTCCCATCATCCCTGATTAGCTAGGGATGATGGGAGTTGTAGTCCAAAAACAGCTAGAGATCCAAAGTTTAGGAAACTCTGTGCTATGCCAACAGAGGCAAGGCATTCAGTAACCCCCTTTGGACATCAAATAGTCTCCAGGCTCCTTATCTGCTAAGACACTAATTCTAGCCTGAAGTAAGGAATTTTAGCCCATGTATACAAATGTGTTAGTTCTATGCACAGAGTAGGATAATAAGATTAATGCAAAGGAATTTGCTTTTTTGTGGTTTAGCACTCCCTTCTGAGAATGGAGTGGATAGTTATACAAAAAGTAATACGGCGGGTTGTATGTTGTACTCAGACACGAGTTCAAATTCTTCCTTAGCCACAAATTTCGTTGGGCAAGCCAGCCAGCCACCGCTTCCTCATCTCGTACAAAAGGTTGTTGTGGACCTGGAAGCTGGCTTAAAAGGTACAATACCTATTGCAGTATTTGCTTAACACCAATAAATGTCAAAATGGAAAGCTAGCGTGGCTCTTCCTTCGATACTGGGAATTATCTGCTGAGTTCAAAAAGCTCAAGAGGGTAGAGGAGGTTGTGTTGGGAAAGCTACAGCTAAAAAGTATGAGCATCCATACATTGCATATGTGTCAGTTATGGGTGATTTCCTCTGGGATCCACAGCTTCCTCTGGGATCTTAGCGTCACACTATATATATATATATGTGTGTGTGTGTGTGTCATTTAATAGAGTGTCTTAAGCACTTCATGTCTTTCTTTGCCTCACCAAGGTGAATGGTGATTGTGTGGTTCCATAATATTCTGTCTCTCTGGGGTTTTGTTTATTAGCAGTGCAATCTTAGGTGTGCTTATTTATTTGAAATAGCACAGTGGGGTTTATTCCCAGGTTAAGTGTGTTTTTAGGATTGCAGCTTAGATCAGGGGACTGGGCTTAAAAGACAATGACTTCAGCTTCTGCGACCTGCACAGCAACACCTTTTCTGTAATAAACCTTACTATGCTACTCAGAAGCAACTATCCTTCAATTAGTGTTTTTGCTGTTTTGAATCTGAGAGTATTATTTGAGGCTGAGAAAGAGCCTCTCTATCGGCTGTGGAAGTGCGTGATCAAGTTCTCAAATCAGTCACATTTGTGATCATACTGCAAACCGCCCTGCGATCCTTGGATGAAGGGTGGCCTAAAAATTTAATAAAACAAAAAGAAAGAAACTCTGACCACTCAACCTGGTAGAAATATCATGTGACAGATTCAAAACCAGACATCGCATGCCAGCTGTGGGCAAGCCCCTTAGCCATTGGCTGCGCTGCTGTGATGTCACGGACCATTCCAAGCAGAGAGTTGAAAACCGGAAGTGGAAAGTATGTTCATTGGGGGAGTCAAAGGGGCAGGAAATGCCTGACAAAGAGGTCTAACGATATCAGAGCAACTTTCTGTTAGGTAGGGGAAGAAGGTTGGTTTCCATACATTAATCCAGCCTGCCAAATATGAGGCTTCCATGCATGATTTTAATAACATGTTGCTATCCACCTGGAACTTCCCAGGTACACCAAGATAAAGATTTGGAAAAAATAAAATAAGCTCATTGCCAAAGTAAGATATGATAAGGTCTAGAAGAAATCTGGTTTTCAATATCGTTATACAGTGGTGCCTCGGGTTACATACGCTTCAGTTTACAGATGCTTGAGGTTACAGACTCTGCTAACCCAGAAATAGTACCTTGGGTTAAGAACTTTGCTTCAGGATGAGAACAGAAATTGTGCGGCAGCGAACATGGGGCCCATTAGCTAAAGTGGTGCTTCAGGTTAAGAACAGTTTCAGGTTAAGAACAGACCTCCAGAACGAATTAAGTTCTTAACCCGAGGTACCACTGTATAAAGGTTAAAAAAAGGTAAATGACCCCTGGACGATTAAGTCCAGTCAAAGGAGACTCTGGGGTTGCAGCGCTCATCTCGCTTTCAGGGCAAGGGAGCCGGCGTTTGTCCACAGGCAGCTTTCCGGGTCATGTGGCCAGCATGACTAAACTGCTTCTGGTGCAACGGAACACCGTGACGGAAGCCAGAGCGCACGGAAATGCTGTTTACCTTCTTGCCACAGCGGTACCTATTTATCTACTTGCTCTGGTGTGCTTTCGAACTGCTAGGTTGGCAGAAGCTAGGACACAGCAACGGGAACTCACTCCGTCACAGGGATTCAAACCGCCGACCTTCTGATCAGCACGCCCAAGAGGCTCAGTGGTTTAGACCACAGCGCCACCCACATCCCCATCGTGATATATCACCAGCTGAATACTGTGATATGCTGATATATCACGATGTCTGGAATGTATCTCGGTGGCTTCTCCCTCCCCACCTTAGAAACAGCTGAGATACACCGCCCAGTTCTAAGGAGCAAGCCCCCATACCGTTCTGGCTCATGCAAGCTGGATGGGTGCGGGGGCTTCCTTAAACTGCTCAGCTGTGGGATGGGAAGCCTCCTGCCACCCCCCAGCTGAGCAAGCCCCAATGAAACTCTGGCTTGCGCGAGAAGGAGGGGCAGGCAGGTAGGCAGACCCATTAACGTGCTTGCCCCAAACCTTCTCAGGCTCCATCCGCCTGCCTGCGCCTTTGCTGCCTGCAGGCAATTTGAGCTGGGAATACATCACGGCTCCCTGCCCACCATGACAGCGCAGACTGTCTCAAACTGGTATCAGGATCTGAACACCAATTTACCAGCTCTGTCAGGGAACTGCCATCAGAGCAGGGGCTGGAAACAGAGGGGCAGTTGTGTTACAGGGAGTCTCCGAAAATCTTGCAAAGGAGTTCCTCTTCCGGTGAGGAGCAAAGCCCCACCTCCAGTGGGGAAGCGGTGAAAGGACCAGAGGATGTTGGTGGGAGACTCAGCCCCACTCCTGGCCAAGCCAGCCAGGAGGGAAGCATACCCCTTCCGTCACCCACCCTGCGCAGAAGTCTAAAGTGCAAAGAGGGAAGGAAAAGGCTGGGCATAACAAGACTTTTATGTTGGGGGAGGAAACAAGCACTCCTGGATTCTGCTAGCGATTGAGGCAGACATGAACTTTGGGGTTCTGCACTGTAAATAGTTTTGCACCTAAATAAAACCTGCAAAGAGTCCTGCCTGGTTACTCGTGAGCGACCACCTTTGCCATCTGACAAGCTCTAATAAGGTCTTCCTCTAGTATTTTTGTATGCCACAGCAGCAGCTAGGATTTTACTAGCCAGAAAATGGAAAACACAACGGTAGAAGAATGGCAGATGAAGATGATGGAGTTTATGGAGCTGGCTGATCTCACCGGGAGAATCCGCGACCAGAAAGAAGAGGAATACCAAGAAGATTGGAAGAAATTTAAAGACTATTTGAACAAATATCCTAATATTAAAGATATGTAATCACTTGAAAGAACCAATCAGGCCTAGGATTAAATTAGATTTAAATATATAAATAAGAAAATGTATTACAAGAAAGGAAATGAAATTGGAATGCGACTGTAATATTGTTTTATGAAATAATGATATTGGAAACTGCTACATTCAAATTAAGAGGAAATTCAGATGGAGGAGATTAGAGGAAGTCAACCAAAATGTTTATGAAAATGCATTTTAATGAATTAATTGAGTTTCTTTTTTTCTGTTTAGGTATCTTAAGTTTGTTACTCCCCCCCCTTTTTCACTTTTCTATTGTGTTGTTGTATATTTTCTTTTTTGTTATGTCTATTGATGAAATTTAATAAATATTATTGTAAAAAATAAATAAATAAGGTCTTCCCCTTTCCTCTGCAATACTCACTCTTGGAGGGACTGGTCCAAGTCTTTTGCTGTTGCCACGCCAATTTCAGCACCATCCGAGATGGGCTCCTCACCCCTGTCCGCGTTCTGCGTGGCAGCAGATGTCCCCAGGGTAAGGCCGTCGGAGCTGAGGCTGGAAGACAGCTGGGAGGAACCTGTTGTGCTGATGCTCAGGTTGGATGCGGTGAGTTTCTCTGCCCGTTGGCTTTTAGCGGCGGGCAAGAGGGCTGGGGAAGCCTCAGCGTCATCCGAGCCAGAAGACAGCGAGAGGGAGCCCAGCGATTCTTTCCTCCGGGGCTCCAAACTCACAAGCAGTTCTGTGGCTGGGCAAAGTCCCGACAGGGATAAAGGGGTGACCGTCCATTCGTTCAAGACTGCCGACTTGTAGGAGAGGTCGAAGGCCAGGGAAGACAAGCCCTGCAAGTAAGTGAGAAGGAACTCAACCTCCTCGGCGTCCAGTAGCAGGGCTGGCGAATGGTAATACTCGGAGAGGTGGGCTTTCTCGTGGAGCAAGAGCTTCAGGTAGCATTCCATCAGGCCATCATTCAGCGCAAGTCGTAGCCAAGCACGGCAGCGGCCCACGTCTGTGTTGATGAAGTCCAGGTGCTCCAGCTCAGAAATGATGTTTCTGGAGAAAAGTAAAGAGAGGAGCAGGGAAGGGGGAGAGAGCACAAGGCCCATTAATGCTGCAGCTCTAATAATAATAATAATAATAATAATTTTTATTTCTATCCCGCCCTTCCCGGTTCAAAAACCGGGCTCAGGGCGGCTAATAACAAATTTAAAACACTTTAAAACAATTATAAAAGCAGCATTAAATACAGTATAAAATATGAATAGCAATAGAATTCAAAAATCAAAAATCAATTAGATAATCCCCAGGGCTTAACTGATCCTACTTGATCCCACATAACACCGGTCCCGAGAGATCTGCATTGACTCCCAGTACGTTTCCAAGCACAATTCAAAGTGTTGGTGCTGACTTTTAAAGCCCTAAACGGCCTCGGTCCTGTATACCTGAAGGAGCGTCTCCACCCCCATCGTTCAGTCCGGACCCTGAGGTCCAGCGCCGAGGGGCTTCTGGTGGTTCCCTCATTGCGAAAAGTGAGGTTACAGGGAACCAGACAGAGGGCCTTCTCGGTAGTGGCACCGACCGTGTGGAACACCCTCCCTTCAGATGTGAAGGAAATAAGCAGCTATCCTATCTTTAAAAGACATCTGGAAGGAAGCCCTGTTCAGGGAAGTTTTTAATATTTAATGCTGTACTGTTTTTAACATTTGATTGGGAGCTGCCCAGAGTGGCTGGGGAAACTCAGCCAGATGGGCGGGGTATAAATAATAAATTATTATTATTATTATTATTGGGCCAGCAAGGAGGCCAGGAGAGAATTAGCTGTGGGGTCTCAGAGCAGGTGATCTCCATAAAAGGGGAGGGGGAAGGGGAGCTCTGAAGGACCTTGGAAAGTTGGGGGTGTGTGTTAAAAAACCAGAAGTTTTTTTTATCCCCCATTCCTCCTCTGACCTGTCTTCATTGTCCCAACCCAAAGCCTTCCTCTTCTGAGGCTCCTCCCTTTGAGGTTCTCTGACAGGGATCCCCGGCCACTCCTAATTGTCCAGCCTGCCCCTGACTTTTTTTGCCTATAAAGGTAAAGGTAAAGGGGCCCCTGACCATTAGGTCCAGTCGTGGCCGACTCTGGGGTTGCGGTGCTCATCTCGCTTTACTGGCCGAGGGAGCCGGCATACAGCTTCCGGGTCATGTGGCCAGCATGACCAAGCCGCTTCTGGCGAACCAGAGCAGTGCACGGAAACGCCGTTTACCTTCCCGCCAGAGCGGTACCTATTTATCTACTTGCACTTGGACGTGCTTTCGAACTGCTAGGTTGGCAGGAGTTTTTGCCTATATCCGCCTAAATTCCTAGCAGGACTTTAGCAAGAAGAGATGAGAAGTCCCTCCGTCAGCCACATTGCCTTGAACTTTGATTAACCACCGTAAGCAGAAATCTCACATTTGCATCTCACAAATGCCCCCACCACTCCATGCCCAGCAATGTTCAAGCATGTAATATTTTGCTGACGGCTGCAATCTCCACCCTCACAGCGGCTGTCTTCCCCATCTCACCTGTGTGTGATAGTTTTCAGCAGGGCCCAGAAGGCTGGTTGGGGAAGGGGCAGGCGCCCGCCAAATTTCCTCCCTTTCGCTCCCGATTCTGCCTTGATGTGCTTGGCCTTCAAGCCGTGCACAAACACGGCTTCGAGGGCGCAGCAGAGGGTGTTGGCATCTCCATCGTCACTGGTCACGAGGGCGTCGGAAGTCACGTAGTGTTTCTGCAGTGCTTTGATGGAGTTCACCAGGTGTGCCTTGATCAACTAGGGTAGCATAAAACAGAGGCTGCATTAGGTTAGGGCCAAGATGAAAGTAAGCTCTCCTCCCCAAGGATATTGCCAAAATGTTGAGGACAGTAGGAAGGCCTCAACTGGAGCGCACTGTGTTAAGATCCGAAATGTTGAGAAGAGGATTGTGAAGCTAAGGCCTATAACCACAAGGTGCTATTTATGTACTTTTTCAGACCTAGTCGTACGATCAGATTCAAGTTACCTAAACTATGTCTTAGTGATGTATGGAAGTGAGAGCTGGACCATAAAGAAGGCTGATCGCCGAAGAATTGATGCTTTTGAATTATGGTGCTGGAGGAAACTCTTGAGAGTCCCATGGATTGCAAGAAGATCAAACCTATACATTCTTAGGGAAATCAGCCCTGAGTGCTCACTGGAAGGACAGATCCTGAAGCTGAGGCTCCAATACTTTGGCCACCTCATGAGAAGAGAAGACTCCCTGGATGTTGGGAAAGATGGAGGGCACAAGGAGAAGGAGAAGGGGACGACAGAGGACAAGATGGTTGGACAGTGTTCTCGAAGCTACCAGCATGAGTTTGACCAAACTGCGGGAGGCAGTGGAAGACAGGAGTGCCTGGCGTGCTCTGGTCCATGGGGTCACAAAGAGTCGGACATGACTAAACGACTAAACAACAACAAACTATGTCTGTTTGAGCAACAAACAGATTGTAGGTGGAGCAATAAATGGGAGACTATCAGCGCCCCTGAAGCAACAGCACTGATTATAGCTCAGTAGGTTACAGCATGGTGCTGGTGATGCCAAGGCTGCAGGTTCGATCCCCGGGGGGGGGCAGCTGCATATTCCTGCATTGCAGGGGGTTGGACTAGATGATCCTCAGGGTCGCTTCCAACTCCACAATTCTATGATTAAGGAGATATCACAACTTGATACTGAAATTACCAGTTAACATTTTCCTTCTAGTGTTATCATCTTGATCATGCCCAACGGCAATACTTAACAAGATTCACATTTTCCAACTATGCTATCTGCGTTCCCCAATGGCAAAAGAGGAAGGTCAGAGGAGGAGATTATTTGTATATTATTTACTATACTAAGGTCCGTATAGTTAAAGCCATGGTTTTCCCAGTAGTGATGTATGGAAGTGAGAGCTGGACCATAAAGAAGGCTGATCGCCGAAGAATTGATGCTTTTGAATTATGGTGCTGGAGGAGACTCTTGAGAGTCCCATGGACTGCAAGAAGATCAAACCTATCCATTCTTAAGGAAATCAGCCCTGAGTGCTCACTGGAAGGACAGATCGTGAAGCTAAGGCTCCAGTACTTTGGCCACCTCATGAGAAGAGAAGACTCCCTGGAGAAGACACTGATGCTGGGAAAGATGGAGGGCACAAGGAGAAGGGGGCGACAGAGGACGAGATGGTTGGATAGTGTTTTCGAGGTTACCAGCATGAGTTTGACCAAACTGCGGGAGGTAGTGGAGGACAGAGGTGCCTGGCGTGCTCTGGTCCATGGGGTCATGAAGAGTCGGACACGACTAAACGACTAAACAACAACATTTACTATACTGCCCATGGGCTGAGAACCCTACACGTAGTTTTTGTAGACCTTTTCTGTGCTTTCAGGTTTTTATAAAGATTTGCTTCTTGTTACTAAATCATGATAAGAAAATAGGGTGCCAACAGAAAAAGAATATTTTTACACAACTTGACATATATTTCTCCAGGCTGTTGTTGTTGTTGCCTGTTTTATTTAGGCTTGCTGATAAACACCTTCTGCTTCTTCCATTTGTATATCTCAATGACTGTACTTTGGAGCTTTTGGTTGAAAATTAATTTTCCTCTGCGATCTCATACTGGATTGGCCTACAATAATCTTGAATTGGCCTTGAAGATTTTAAAAAGAAGAAATGAGCATCTGTTTAGAAGAAAAGTAATTGAAGGAACTCAGTAGGCTTAGGTTGGAGAAGAAATTAGGGGGTGGGATGTGTGAGAAAGAGAGAAATTATAGAAATGTTGGCAATGGCCAAAAATGCCAGTGTCCTAGGGTAGCTCAGTTGGCGGAGAATGAGACTCTTGATCTCAGGATTTTGGGTTTGAAGTGGGTTGGAATAGATGACTCTTGGGGTCCCAGCTCTACAATTCTATGATTCTATGAAACCAGGGTGGGGAGGCAATGTTCCGTGCCCAGAATGAATCTCATAGCAGGTTTCCAACCAGCGTTGTGTATGACTCAAGAAGGGCTGAGCTTGATTGTCACCATCAATGGCTGTTGAAAGCAGTGCCTTCTCTCCACGGAACAGAAGGGAAAGGATCACGAGATGCCTGTTCATGCATCCAGCCGCCACTTCCAAGTGATGCTCAGCCCCTTCCTCTGGAAAGGCCTGGAAATGTTTCACAGCCACTCGACATCCCTATGGCCAGCGAAGTCTCACCTCCATAGGCCAGCTTGGCTGTAATTATTCACCTTCCTCCTGGGCCATGTTCAGAAAGTGGTGGTGGGGGATGAGTGCTCAGACCCCTGGGCCCTCACTTGTGGGGTGCCTCAGGGTTCCGTCCTCTCCCCCATGCTTTTTAACATCTACATGAAGCCGCTGGGAGAGATCATCAGGGGGTTTGGACTGGGTGTCCATCAAGATGAAGATGATACCCAGCTCTACCTCTCTTTCAAATCAGAACCAGTAAAGGTGGTGAAGGTCCTGTGTGAGTGTCTAGAGGCGGTTGGAGGATTCAATGCTATGTGATTCTGGCCTATCCAGAAAGTATTGGGGGGAAGGAATTCTGTGTGCTAACTACATACAGAACAGATTGTTTCATTCTACCATAAACAACACCCCTCATTTTTTGCTTTATGGAAAAAAACCCTTTTTGGACCATGTTAAAACTTTTGGTTGCTGGGCTTGGGTTCACATCCCAAAAGGACAGAGAAGGAAAGGAGAGCCCAAGGCAAAGAAACTTAGGTTTGTTGGCTATCAAACTTGGTCAAAGGGGTATCGTTTTGCACTAGGGCGTGGCAGAGTTGTAATATCAAGACATGCAGAGTTTTGTGAGCAAGATGGTTGGGTTCGTTTACATGGAAATTCAGAAGTTGTGTTATCTTCTGATGATACAGATAAATTTGTGAAATCTGAGGAAGAAAAGCCACAAATTAAAGAAAGTTCTGAAAGTGACAGTGATGAGGATTCAGGGGATGAGGATCCCAGTACACAATCTCCTAAGGCTGAACCAATTTCTCCTGAGCAGGATAAATCAGAAGGGGAAGATAGTTCAGAGGGGGAGAGTGTTCAAGTTAGAAGGTCACAAAGAAGCAATAAGGGGGTACCTCCAGAAAGGTTTACTATACAAGAAGTTAAAACTGGTGATGTGAAAAAGGAACCTCGTGATTATGAGGAAGTTTTAAAGTTACCACACCAGGAAATAGTAAGGTGGAAAAATGCAATGTAAAACAGAACCAGATAATGCTGAAGTATTGTGAAAGTACACAAAATGTGGCGGATGTATTTACAAAAGCGTTAACTTTTGAAAAACATGCACGACTGGTAGCAAAGTTGGGAGTTGCTGTGTGTGATATGTAAATATGTTCTGTTCTGTTTAAAATACTATTGTTTCTGTTTGAATGAGAGGGGGTGTTAGAGGACATTCGGCACAGAAACATGTGTGTATACCTTTAAGAAGTTTCTGGGATTAATTGGCTGCAGGTGACTGTTGCTATAAAGGAAAAAAGCTGAGTTTTGTTGCCTGCCTGCAGGAATAACATCCACCAGAGTTTGTGTTTATTTGCTTAGTAATAAAGTCTTCGTTTTAGTTTGGGTTTTTACACCTATGTCTCCTGGAGTCACTCTGTCTTCTGCCACCGGCTGGAAATCCCCCTCCAACATGGACTGGGTGTCCATCAAGATGAAGATGATACCCAGCTCTACCTCTCTTTCAAATCAGAACCAGTAAAGGTGGTGAAGGTCCTGTGTGAGTGTCTAGAGGCGGTTGGAGGATGGATGGCGGCTAATGGATTGAGGTTGAATCCTGACAAGACAGAAGTACTGTTTTGGGGAGACAGGGGGCGGGCAGGTGTGGAGGACTCCCTGGTCCTGAATGGGGTTCTGCCTGGACGCTGAGGTTCAGCGCCGAGGGCCTTCTGGCGGTTCCCTCATTGCAAGAAGCAAAGCTACAGGGAACCAAGCAGAGGGCCTTCTCGGTAGTGGCACCCGCCCTGTGGAACGCCCTCCCATCAGATGTCAAAGAGATAAACAACTACCTGACATTCAGAAGACATCTTAAGGCAGCCCTGTTCAGGGAAGTTTTTAATGTATGACATATTAGTGTATTTTTTGTATTTGTGGAAGCCGCCCAGAGTGGCTGGGTACAAATAATAAATTATTATTATTATTATTATTATTATTATTATTATTATTATTATTACCTGGGTAACTTCTCGGGGCTGGCATCCATTCTCAGCTTTGTGGTTGGAATGCATATCTACTGCTGCTTCTGCCCAGTTCTGGAATCACATGGTAACCTGAGGAAAAGCAAACAGGAAGAAAGTCAAACACCATGTGAACAGTCCACTATCCTGACCTCTGTGCTTATTAGTGTGATGGCCTGGGATTCGGACTCGGAGGCTGAACCTGAGGAATCCCAGCCTGCACAGGAGTCCCTGCCCCCAGAATCAGCTGAGCCGGGGCTGGGGCTTGAGCCTGAAGGGTCCTCACCTGTGCTGGATCCTCAGGTGCGGGCACCAGCTGAGTCTGCTCTGGCTCCTGAGGTGATGGAGGACCCATTGCCGGCAGGTGCTCCACTCTCAGCCCTGTCGGAGGAAGCTGAGGTTGCCTCTGGGTCTGGTAACCCTCCATCCTCTCCTGAGTTGCAGAGGCTCAGGGCAGAGAGGCGGAGGGAACTAAGTTCCCGCAGGAGGAGTGCTCGCCTCCAGGCCAGGAGAGGCGAGTCACCAGAGGATCGGGGCCGCCCTATGCCTCGGGTCAGATAAAAGCTGATCAGTCCCAGGTTGCGGGAGCAACATTGTTGGTAGCCTGTTCCTGCCTGCACCCTGACCTGCTATTCTGCCAGAGTTCCTGACCTCACCCGACTCCCTGCCTTGGACCCCACTTCAGCTTTGACGGACAGCCTCCATACCGCACCCTCGACCTCGGACTGGACTCGGACCTCGCCGCACAGTTAACCCTCGGGACCAGCACAATTAGTCTGGAATACCCACCACATAACAGTCACATGAGCAGAGTTGGAGACCAGAGGCCAACTCGTACAGCCTTCCTCCAACCTGGTGCTCTCCAGATGCTACAACTCCCATCAGTATCTGGGGGACCAAGCAGCCAGGGAGCTGGCCACGAGTGCGAAACACACCCCTCTAAAGTTGTGAGACAAGTCCCCCCGAGCCCAGTTCCCTTCTTGAATTAGGCCAGGGAACCTGGGTCCCTCCTGCTTCTTCTACAGGCTCAGGGAGCTCAGCTCATGGCAGGCTCCTAGAATCATAGAATTGTAGAGCTGGAGGGGACCCTGAGGGTCATCTAGTCCAACCCCGGGCGACACAGGAATCTCAGGTAAAGCATCCATGACAGATGGCCGCCCAGCCTTTGCTTAAAAACCTCCAATGGAGGAGAGCCCACCACCTTCTTTGGGCCTTATGTCTGATCTAGAATCACAGACCTGGAAGCAACCAAAAGGCCATTCAGTTGAAGCCCCTGAGGGGAAGCAGCACCGCCCACCCAGAACCTCCCCCTCTCCACTCAAAAGATCAGGCTACACAACCCAGAAGAGCCCGTAACACCAGATACGGAGAGCAGGTGAGTTGCAGAAAGGTGCTAACTGAGCAATGCTGCTAGGTGGCTCAAGCAAGCGAGCCAAGCCACATGCAACTCATTCCATCAGAACAGTGGACAGTCGGACCACAAGGACCAAATTCCTTCTCAGATCCACACAATCATTCGGCAGGGTCCTAGGATGAGCAGCCCCTATCCGCTAAGCCTTCACAAGAGACAAAGATGGAAGAGACAACCCCGACCAGAGAAGAATGGCAAACCAAGTTGATGGACTCTGCCGACATGGCAAAATTAACTAGGAAGCTCAGAAATCAAGACGACAAGAACTTTAAAAAAGAATGGGAGAAGTTTATAATTTACTTCTAAGACCACTGTAAGCAGGTTAAAATATTAGCAGGATTTTAACCTCACTTGTAAAGTAATGGAAAGTATGGATAATTTAGAAGGATAAAAATTTGGATCAGCATTGATATGCAGTTGTAAATATTATCATTAGGACCCATGGAAGAGATCGGGGGAAGTCAGGAGATTCAGAGTAATCTCGATATTTGGATTTTGAATTGTTTTTTGTTGTATTTTTATACTTTTAAAAATCAAATCAATTTTTTTAAAAAAAAGACTTCACAAGAGAAACTTGAGCAGAATAGTCCACCCACAGAGGAACATGGCAAAGTGCTCAATATTATATTAGTAGTCTCCCTTCCGCTTCCTAGTAAGCCCCTTTACCAGCAACGCCAGCCAGGATGGAAGCAACTGGGCTTCACGGCTATTAATCTATCCCCAAACTGACACAGCAGATGCACAAACACCAACCTGCTCCTTAAGGAGTTTGCGGACAGCCTGTGCAGGACCAACCGAGTCCAAGCAGAGAGAGGACAGTCACGGACAAAAGCTGCCTGGGGAGACGGGGCGGGTGGCGAGAATGTAAGCCCCTTGCCTCCGTGCTAGGCTTGTCACAAGACCTGCTGAACTCTGAACGCTGCAATTTAAAAAGCTAAGCACAGCAACCACAAAGCCACAGCTCTCTTAACCTCTGATCTACATATTTATCTGACAGTCCAGGGAGACAAAAACAAGCCCCCAACTCCTCCCGTCATTTGCACTGACTTGTATTTCCTCCTGTGGAAAACTGAGAGAGGTGGAGGCATCCCCAGAGTCTCAGGTCGACACCTCTGCCTCATCCATATCCTGGATTGCCATGTTGGAGTCACATTCCCCCATGTCTAAATAACAGGCGGTAGAAGGATGGATGGCGGCTAACAGATTGAGGTTGAATCCTGACAAGACAGAAGTACTGTTTTTGGGGGACAGGGGGCGGGCGGGTGTGGAGGACTCCCTGGTCCTGAATGGGGTAAATGTGCCTCTGAAGGACCAGGTGCGCAGCCTGGGAGTCATTTTGGACTCACAGTTGTCCATGGAGGCACAGGTTAATTCTGTGTCCAGGGCGGCTGTCTACCAGCTCCATCTGGTACGCAGGCTGAGACCCTACCTGCCCACAGACTGTCTCACCAGAGTGGTGCATGCTCTGGTTATCTCTCACTTGGACTACTGCAATGTGCTCTATGTGGGGCTACCTTTGAAGGTGACCCGGAAACTACAATTAATCCAGAATGCGGCAGCTAGACTGGTGACTGGGAGTGGCTGCCGAGACCACATAACACCAGTCTTGAAAGACCAACATTGGCTCCCAGTATGTTTCCGAGCACAATTCAAAGTGCTGGTGCTGACTTTTAAAGCCCTAAATGGCCTCAGCCCGGTATACCTGAAGGAGCGTCTCCACCCCCATTGTTCTGCCCAGACACTGAGGTCCAGCTCCGAGGGCCTTCTGGCGGTTCCCTCGCTGCAAGAAGCCAAGTTATAGGGAACCAGGCCTTCTCGGTACTGGCACCCGCCCTGTGGAACGCCCTCCCACTAGATGTCAAAGAGAACCAGACTTTTAGAAGACATCTGAAGGCAGCCCTGTTTAGGGAAGCTTTTAATGTTTGATGGACTATTGTATTTTAGTATTTTGTTGGAAACCGCCCAGAGTGGCTGGGGAAACCCAGCCAGATGGGTGGGGTATAAATAATATTTTATTATGATTATGATTATATAACATTGCAAGTTTCTTAGCTGGCTGAGAGACCTGGATTTTTCAGAGTTAGGGCCATAGCCCAATAGCAGGACACATATTTGCATGAATAGGGAGCCCAGAATTTTGAGTAGCAGGGCTGTGAAAGTCCCCGCATGACACTTTGGAAATTCACTGCTAGTCAGACCAGGTGGTACTGGGGGAGGCAAGCCATTGTGGAAAGAATGCAACTACTTACAACCATTTTCACACAGATTCTGGGACATCCATGCTGTGGCAGCCCCATAGCCTATTTTAAACATCGGACCTTGACTCCAGTGCAGGAAATCATGGCACAAGTGTGTCTCTGAGCATGCACAAAACGTCTTCTCCCAGCTGATATATGTCACCTCCACTCGTATGGAGCGGGCTGGACAACTTTGAAATCTTGGCCTGTGCACAAGGTTATGCCGTGTTCTGAAATGCTTTTGCTTTGAAGGCAACCTGAAGTGCAACAGCAAAAGCATTTCAGACTGCAGTACAATCTGGCCAAGATTTCAAAGTTGCACTGCTCCACATGTCTCTGGGACACTTTCCTTTGCTGCTTTCAGTGGCTTAGTTGGACAGTTATTTAGTTTTATAGCCCTTTCTAGCCAGGAGAACCCAGGGCCACACAGACAGCGCAAGTCCGATAAAAAGCAACTAGAAACACACAAAAACCCTGTTCTCAATTCCATGGTTCAGCCTTGGAACACACCAAGTGATGACACAAAAGTCCTATTTTTCAATACAGTGGTACCTCAGGTTAAGTACTTAATTCATTCCAGAGGTCCGTTCTTAACTTGAAACTGTTCTTAACCTGATGCACCACTCTAGCTAATGGGGCCACCTGCTGCTGCCGCGCCACCGGAGCACGAGTTCTGTTCTCATCCTGAAGCAAAGTTCTTAACCCGAGGTACTATTTCTGGGTTAGCAGAGTCTGTAACCTGAAGCACCTGTAACCTGAAGCGTATGTAACCCGAGGTACCAGTGTACAGTGGACGCTCAGGTTGCGAATGTGATCCGTGTGGGATGCACATTCGCAACCCGCAGCGTTCGCAACCCACAGTGGCGCATCTGCGCACGCGCAGGTTGCGACTCGGCGCTTCTGCGCATGTGCAAAGCACGATTTAGCGCTTCTGCACATGCGCGACGCCCGAAACCCGGAAATAACCCGTTCCGGTGCTTCCAGATTTCGGCAGGTCCGTAACCTGAAAAAACGCAACCTGAAGCGCCTGTAACACGAGGTATGACTGTACATACAAGGGGCTTGTTGACAGGATCCCACCACGGCCACCGCTTGCCGTCGGCACACAGAGCCTTCGCTGCTGCTCCTGACAAACAAGGAGTTGATGACCATTGCCTTGCTACTTCCCATAACAGAAAAGCTGGGTGACTGCTGACTAGAAATGTTTCTCCTCCTGAAAAACACCGGGCTGAACGCCAAAGTGTGTGACGGCTCAGAGGCACCGTTCCCAAAAGTCTCTTCACAAACAAACACTGGAAGAAAAGGACCGGGTTTGTGTGGCGAAGGGGGAGGCAGTGTGGAATCTTGCCGAAGGAAGGCATTTCGCAGCTGTGAAACATAAAGCTCACACAGATTTAAGTTCTCTCAGCTGCTCTTAGTAAATATGCATCGAAACGCAACACACT